ACATTTATTCCTCCAAAAGGAAAATTGATGTGATCTTCTGTATATGTGGACTAATAAATAAAGAATCGAGCTAATTTACTTATCCACATAAAATTTCCTGCTTACCATATTGTGAGGTTCCACCATTTTTCGCTAATCATCATTATGCGAGGCATCTAGCAAAAAGAATATTCTTTTATTTTATTAATCATTATTTTTTTGGTCTCTATGCGTGCTTTAATTTAAAGCTACATTATTATTTGTAGAAAAATTCTTATAGGCTTGAGGAAGTCCGCAAGTGATGTACGCAAAGAACACAAACAAACAAAAAAAAGAAAAAGAAAAAGAAAAAAAGAGAGAGGAGATATATTCAACTTTAATGTGTACGTATAATCAAGTGAGAATAAGTATACTTTCTACTCTAAGTTTCTGACAAAAGAAGTCCACCATATCCTATGAATCCCTGATGATTTATGATTTAATAAGATACCAACTCTAGAATACCAGCCACAGATCGAGTAGTATTAGAGCTACAAATCCTCGTAGTAATTAAAGAATAGAAGAGAAGTATGAAGGTAAAGTATAAACAATCAATTCAACCCAAAAAATTAAGCTTAGGCTACATTAATAATTTTATATATCTCTAATAAAGGATTTCTCCATAATGTCCGTGAACAGTTGCGCCTGGAATCGCCTCTCGTTTTCGTCCATTAAATAATATTTAAATAGTTGTCAATATTTTTAAATAGTTGAAAAGTTTCCTTTAACTTGTCAATTTCCAAAATTTTAGTTATTGAGATATGAGTATGAGTTATTAATTGGTAAAATGAATAAAAATTTCTAACTTGAAGGGCGACTCCCAAGGGTCCTGGCGAATTCTTAATTGGAATTCGAGTATATCTTTTAATTTTATTAATTATTTCGTTTATCCCATTCTGTATCCCATTATGATATTTTACATTATTGAATGGTCTCGTTTGAAAACAATTCGATGATGACAAAATTATCAAAGATCGGCATTCCTTATTTCTAATATTGAACAACATACGAATAGTTCCATGATTTTGGTTGAGTGATTGTTGATTTTTGCCTTAAAAAAATAAGTAGAAAAAAAATGGATTGATATTGATCCGATCTGACTCATTATCCGAGATCAATCCTGAACTGAACGGATCATTTCTTTTTCTCGTATATGAAATATGGGATTTCACTAAGTTAATTTTTAGGAAATCTCCAATCAAACCATTAGTATTTACCGCAACAAAAGAAGCGCGGGCCTCGTCGATAGAAGAAATATTTTTTTTGACCCAAAAGCTTCAGCTTAGGCTACATTAATGATTTTATATATCTCTAACATGTCCGACAAAGAAAATGGGGAGCGGCGAGAATTGAATCCGGGAGATCGAGACTTGATACAATACAAAGAACCAATTCAACCAAAGGCTTAAACTTTTGAGTGAGACTACATTAATGGTTTATATATCTCTAAGATAAAGAATTAAAACTTTCCCAACCAGCTCAACAACCAACAATACAATTTGGTGATCCAAAAGTGATGGAGGACCTAATAAATGGTGTGGAATTTGCCATAAGAACTTAATCGTGAAGAAGTGGAAAGCTTCACAGAAGGCAAGCTACAATGTTATAATTGCAAGAGGTTTGGACATGTTAAAAAAGAATGTCATTTTAGCTATTAGCTGCAGGCTACATTATGTATTGAAGCTTAAAATGATTAAAGGAACTTGTTCTTTGCTTGTTAAAAAGCTTTTGAAGAGCAGAAAAATGTTACTTGGACAACGACTACAGCAATCACATGGTATGAGATAACGAAGCTTTTTCTTGACATTGATTCGATCATTCAACTCAAAAATTAAATTGGCCATTGATGAATATATTAAATTTGAAGGTAATTAAGGGTAGTATTGAGTTGAAACAAAGCAAGAAAGCAAGGCTATTCATGACACTCTTTATGTACCAGCACTAGATGAGAATTTTCTGAGCATTGGATAGCTTTTAGAGCATGATTGCTTTCTAAAATTTGAGTATCAGACTTGTAGAATTATAATTTAAAATGAAAAAATTATTAGTGGTTATAAGATGACTATGAGAATAAAGTTTTCCACTACTATATTTCAAGTGTGAGAAAATCTTCAGCTCAATGGCAAGAGAGAAATAAACAACTATTATTTGTGACACAAAAGACTTGGATACCTGAACTACTATAGTCTCAAGTTGCTTTTTAAAAAGATATTTGCAAAGGTTGTGTTGCAAACACTAAAGTCAACCATTTCAAAAGGAATTAATGAACATGTAGAAGCAAGAAATTAAGTGCTAGAATTAGTACGCAACGATGTGTATGGGTCTATGAATACTCTATCTCATGCTCATGCAGCCAATTTATTTTATTTATTCATGGCTTGACTTATATGACATTACTATATTTTACAAGACAAATATATTTGAAGTATTTTTGATATTTGAGAAATTCAAAGTTTATGTTAAGAAACAAAGTGATAAGTTCATAACTTTGAGAAAGGGATAAAGGAAAGGAGTACCCGGACAATAAACTTGATAAATTTTATAGGATGACGGTTTGGAGCAGAGGAGCAGCTGATTTTTAGCTATACACCTCAACAAATAGTGTGATTTTTAGCTATACACCTCAACAAATAGTGTGATTTTTAGCTATACACCTCAACAAAATAGTGTGGGATCGCTCAAATACAGAACCAACAAATAAAACTATTCTTCTAACAATGTCGTGAGGATTTGTGGAGAAAGAGAACAAGAACAAACTTCTATGAAATATTTTACTAAACTTCGTTGCTTCTCAATTCTATGTTTCTCAAACAATATACTAGACTATTTATAGGCTATAATTTGTCCTTCTAAAACTGCAACACTAAATAGCCATAAACCACAATTAAAGCCAAATTTAATAACAAAACATAACGAGTGACTCTTAACTTTCAAAACTCCTAAAATAAATGTTAAACTCATGACTCATAAATATCCATAACTAACAAATTTAAAATCATTAAAAATTAAACTCACTGCTGAATTAAACTCATTAAAAAATAAACTCACATTTAACGTTTAGTTAACAAATAGTGTATTTGAAAGGATGAAGCAAACCATAATGAAAATGGCTCATGTTGTTTGAGAAAAGGATGCCTGAGGCATTTTGGCCCAAACCTTTTAACATAGCTGTATATTTGCTAAATATAGATGTATAACCGGAATAGTATGAAATATGACTTCATTTGAAGTGTGGAGTGGAAAAAATGCTTTTGGTAAACCACCTTAATTAAAAAAATTGGCATTCTTTGCCATGCTCCAGTTCCCAAAGAAAACATGACAAAATTTCAAGAAACCAGTGAAAAATATATTTTAACGATTACAGTTGTATGTCAAAGGGCTATCTTGAAGACTAAGAAAGTGATATATTAGCCAATATATTATATGTGATGAAAAGGCTTCAACAAGAAAATATTGTAATACCAAATGATGGCAGTTCAGTTAGTAGCAAGGCTGAGTATGTGGAAAAGAAATGGCTTCGGTTCAATCTACACATGTCACTTTAGAGAGAGGTTTAAATATCTTCATCCCTGACCCGTCTCGCACACCGGATTAGTCCCATAGCTTGTTCAAAGAATCAAAAGTTTGGGGATACTAATGGGAGCCAACTTGCCTCAAAGATATAATTAAAATTGAGTTAACTTAAAAAAAATGTTAAAAAAAGCCCCAGCTGTAAATTTAAAGCAAATGATAGAAACTAATGTTTAGAGTATTCATTAATCTATAAAATGTTTGAGTATGTGTTGGTACAATCAAGTGAGATTAAAAAGAGATATTAAGCAGCAATACTCTTCTCTCTACTCCAAGTTTTTATAGCTAATATTACGAGAGCATGATTATATTTACAAACTTAGTTTACAAATTACATTATGTACTACGGATAGTACATATTACTTTAGCATGTACTACCCATAATACATAGTATAGTTTGTAAGAGTTTGTAAATTTTGAATTTATAAATATAACTACCCCATATTACAAAAGTAAAAACCCACCATATATATTTTCAACTGTTAGTTGAGTGAGCGAGCCATGTATGTAACCCCAAGGGGTGTGATTATCGTTATAGGGGGGCCTTTGACAGTAATGATATAGACTAAGGCTATGTACGTAATGGAGTCCCAGATGTATGTATAACAATGGTGGAGGGTGTTGAATGGCTACAATGGCTCTCCAAGTTGACAAAATAACATATCATGAAAATTGTGATATCCTCTTCCTCATGGTGAAGAGAGAAGGGGTATTTGTAGTTAGGGTAGGTTCCATCCAAGTGGGAGAGTGAGCAAAATTAACTATTATGGGGAAGAGCCATAGCAATATGGCCTTGCAAGGGCAAGGCATTATGCAGCCGCTGTCAGGATTGCAGTGGTTGCTGTGCAGGGAAAGGTATAAAAGGGGGAACATTTTGGAGTCCATGCAGACAAAGGGGAGGGAAGGACATCTCAAGTAAGACATTTTGATGTCTTACGCTGGGAAGTCTGCCAAAAGAGTGCTGGTATGGCAACACCGATGTTGCTGGGTTGGTACAGTAGGGGTAGTATGGGCTCTTTGATATTGGGCCGATCAGATTGGGCTAGTTAGTTGGGTTAGCCAGAACATATATCGTATTAATTCTTGAATAATTTATTTAAATGTAAAATACACTAGGTTACACTATGTACTTTTTGAGGTACATAGTGTAATTTATAAAAATAAATTGTAAATGGATTCTTCCCCAATTTTAAATATCATCTAGACGATACACCAACAACCAACATAAATCACAATTTCCAAAATTTTCTTCTACAAAATAGCATAATAATACAGAGAAGCACAAGAGGCAGTCACACACATGATAATAATTATACAGAGAAAGAAAGCAAAACCGTCTCTGTGAGAGACAAATCAAACCATGATTAATGTTACATATAGAGTCTCCCTCACTTCAATATCTATAATTCTTGTTTCTTTATCTAACTTTCCTTGTAATTTACGTCAATTTCCTAGAGTCAAGGAAATCCTTTTTCTTGGTCTCTCTGGTTGATATGTACGCAAGAAAGCTATCAAAATCTGTGTCCATGTAACGCTTGGGATTCGCTTCGTCAACGAGTTTCTGTGACGCTCTCACCGTGCAGTTGAAAGGAAGGCTATGCAGCGAAGCCACCGATACCCTACTCTTAAACTCATTCACCAGAACCCTATGTAATACGCTCTTGTATTTTCCGTTGCTAAATATCTGATAATCCAAAAATCAGCACAATATAAAGCACGAGGAAATATAATAATACGAATTCTTATAACCATTAATTCTATTTATATATAACCGTTTTAATTAAATTGAAATCAGAGTTCACGTGGCAAATAGAATCAATAATTAATATCGGGGCAAACAAATTTATTCTTAAACGGATATAAATTGGTACTACCCCATAAATATTTTGAGTTAAAATACAGGTTTAAGTGTATTTTATGTAAGAACACGTTGAGGGAATTTAATTACCTCTAAGTGATCACCAATATTGACAACAAAGGCGTTGGGAATAGGTTGAACAGTGACCCATTTGTCTTGAAATTGGATCTGCAAACCCTCAACCTCGTCTTGGAGGAGAAGAGTGAGGAAGCCATAATCAGAATGAGGGGGCATCCCCAGGGTTAGGTCTGGTTGAGGGCATGGTGGGTAGAAATTGGTGACCACCATCTGGCTCCCGTTGTCCAATTCTTTAAGAATATTGTCCTCTTCTTCCCTAATTCCTAAGCTCTCTAGGATGGCTTCCATTATCACTAGGAACAAGTGTTTTGTTTCTTCTGCGTAGGTAGCCGCCACTTTCCTGTTTTAAAAATTTAAAAAAAAAAAAAAAAAAATTAAAATACGCTATCGCATATAACATATATTGTAATTAGTGATCAGAATCAAAAGTTATCTGTTTGTCCTTGTGCCATCTCAATAATAATTTACTAGAAACTAAAAGTAAACCATATACTAATTAATTTCTTTATAAAAACAAGAATATTAATTAATATGACTTAGTGGGTGGGATCAATTAATGAATTTTTAATTAATCAAGATATATACTAACCGAAAGTCCACTGGGGAAGCAGGCCAATGGGGGAAGAAATCTTGATGGCACAGAAGTTTCAAGAAGTCCCTCCAGCAGAACACACTGTCTTTGGTTTGGCTGAAGCTGGTTCCATATCGAACCGGTGCTTTCATATCAGTTGTCATATACTTAGCTCTCTCCTCAAAAGAGAGATTGAAGAACCTGCCACACACATCTATCATGCTGCTCACAACATCATCAGAGATGCTATGATTTACTAGCTGCATCAATCCATTATACAACACACTTTAATCAGACCACATTCTAATTAAACAATCTTATATAGGTTCTCTGAAAAGCTATATATAATATATATATAGCTCAACATGCATGAGGCTTCAGTACTATATGTACCCAATTTCCTACCTGGAAAAATCCATACTGTTCACAAGCATTGGCAAGGGATTGAAGGACTTGAGACCTATTTGGACCAAGCAAATCGGCAAAATCAATGATGGGTAGCTGAAGCTTTTGCTTCTCATCAACATTTGAATCTTCCATAATATTCGTGGTGGGTCTATCGGAAGCAGGAAGTATGTACTTCTTAGGTACCCTGTGAAGATCGCCATTCTCATAGAGATGCTTCACTCCTTTCTCATATTGACTTTCTGGTATATCATTGTCGCTCCTCTGATCATTCATTGCCATTGCAGGAGACATATGCTGCTCAATGAAGTAACCTGTGGAAGTAATAAATTCTATAAGAACATTCATAAAAAAATTAAAAAAAAAAAAAACTTAATCTTATATAATTGTACTAATTTTAAATACGAAGGCGAGCCTAGAACAATGATATAATTGACCTTGTATGACCTAAAGATTACAGACTCTTTTTTTTTTTGATAACAAGATTACAGACTCTTTACAAATATACAAGAGTATAAGAGTTGCTATTGTAACCTCGTTAGTGGAGGTTCGATCGAGAATATTGATAGGAATAATTAAGTACAAGTGTGTATATATATATATAAAGATGAGCTCAAATTGAGTTAGTAACAACTACCTTGGATGAGAAATATGTAGATAGATTAAAATGGGGCTAATTAGAAGGCTAGAAAATGAAAAGAAAGTTTGAATGGATGTTAATGTTAAGTTGATGTTGTTGTATATATAGTGAAGGGAAGAGGGAAGGGTAAAGCAGGGAACAGTTGCAAGTTTTGAAGAAACTGGTTTCAGGTTTCTGAACGGGGAAGACTGATTCCATTCCATTCCAAGTCATTAACAATACCGTTGACAAAAGTCAGTCAGACCACGGGACGAGGACAGATACATAAGACCCCATCTCTTGTCGCTCCAAATTTCCAATCGTATATTGTCCCTTTCCTAGCTAACCTACCTCCCTCTTTGTATTTTTCTTGTTATATATTATTTTAATTTTGTATTATTTTTCATTGTAATATAAAGTCTGAAAACATTTATTTAAAAAACTAGTCTTCACTAGTTTTTTTTTTTTTTTTTTTTTGAGATATTTCAATCTGTTCTCGTGACTAGTTTGGTTTGAGATAGATCTCGAAATTAAGGCTTTGGAAAGGGTTTAAAGACTTAATCTCAAGACTCACTTTGAATTAGACTAGTCTCAGAGCGATAAACAGATTAGAATATCTCAAAAAACAATAAAAATAAAAACTAGTCATCACAAAAAACCATATATACATATAGCTGACTTTTGTGGATATATGCGTATTAGTATATTACAGCCTTTTCCCACGGTTTTCCTCCAGTTTGGCTCCGCTCTATTAAGTAGCAGCCTTGCACCATTCATTGTCATGCCTTTTGATGTCATAATAATTAACTTTTCGTTAGTATTTGAATTCAATCTCCTTCTAGATTTCATTTTTGACGACTGAGTTCTTTTTATGTCTGCTAGAATTAATAATCGAAAATCCAAATCTTTATTTCGCGCGTACATTTACTTTCCACGTCGTGTTTAAACTTTTTGGTGGCTCAAAATATATATGTACATGTTTGAATGATATATTGCATTTTGTTATTAGTGGGTTCTCTCTCTACTTTCGTTTTGAATGATGATTGTGAATGTGATATATTTCATCTATCTTCCAATTAATAATGATCATAATCTTCACTTGTTTTATTAACTTTTACTTATTTTCTTTTGTATGCTGAGTGGATCTCCATTGTTTTAATTAATTTGCTAAATGGGTTGCACGTTTTAAAATACAGTCAGCTTTTTTGGTGGCTTAAATTAGCCATCTTGGAAGAGCTTGATAGGTTTCTTAACTCTTTATTATCAAGAATTAATCATTTACTTTTTTGTCAAATACGATTAATTAATCCAATCACTTTCCAGTGTTAGATCATTCGAGAGAGTAGTACAAGAATCATCTTTAAAACTAGCAAGAAACTTAATTTTGCGCAGATTAACATTTTCAACTGCCAATATTTATGGTAAATTTGATGACGCAAAACAAATTTGACACTGTCTGTCCGCTTAATTAGTTAGTAATCGATCCCATCTATGGAAATTTTTTGTTTGGCCGGTTGGATTATAATGAATGTCCTCTTATTATATATAACTAAATTGTTGGATAAATTCAAAAGTTATTCTCTTAATGAAGTAATTGAATATATATCATCACCCACTATAAGAAACATGAAGTTATGTAGATTGTAGTTTTGCTTTTAATTTCTTTTGTATCCAAAAAAAAGAAACATGAAGTTACGTAAATTACTTTGGAGAGGTCGTTGTTGCATGATTAAAAGAACCAATGAACTAGCAGCACATATTAATATTAAATTATTTAATAGCTTACAAATGGAAATGACACCGTCAAAATGAATTGCAATTCACCAATCTTGGTTATTCAAAACAACTTTTATATATATATATATATATATATATATATATATATATATATATAGGGTTTTATAATTCTCATTTAACATGAGAATTCAAAATTTCCTACACACTCTTCGATTTCCGTGCTGACATGGGTCCTACATATAATTTTTTCCAACACATGGGTCTCACATACTTTTTATCTCTACAACATGAGAATTGAATTCTCATTTAACATGAGAAAATCAAACTCCATATATATATGGTAGATTATAACGTATATATATTTGTATTTGTAGCCATATTACTTGTCCTCTATGGTTTGGAATCTTTTTGAAACTACTGCCACGTATAGGTTGTCTGTCATCTGCTATCGGATTTATTTAACTCGCCTTCCTTAATTCTTTTCGCTCAAGTAGTGATGTTATACACATTCCATTTACTTCAATTCTCCCATCTAGCTAACTAGTGAACTTTGTATATCATTTAAATAAAACAGAAAAAAAATCATGTTATCACTACTAAAGTTAATCTCTCAGTAAGTCTTTTAAAAAAAAACCTCTCATCACCTAACACTTTTGTATGTTTGCTACAGTACAATTCTAATTCAAAAAAAAATTCCTTATACAAATATTTTTTATATCAAGTTTGAATTAAACTGAAAGAAATTTATAACATTTTGTACTATCCTATTTTAAACTAATAATTACGGGCCTGATTGATATCTATTTTGTAAAACAGTTTTTTTTTTTTAAAAACAAAAAAAATAAAAAAACTTGTTTGGTAACGGGTGTTCTGAAAAATGCTTCCCAAAACAATAACTCTTTTTAAATTTTAAAAATCAGAAAACCAAAACATCCTTATGATGTTCTCCAGCGCTGTTTTTTGTTTTTTGCATTTAGGCGGTGGCAAAATCGTAAATACCAGAATTTTTTAATGGCAATTTCGTAAAATTAGGACCAAAACAATTACTTTATGATGGCATTTTTGTAATTCTAAAAGTTCAATAATGGCATTTTTGTAAATAATTACAATTTCTTTATAACTTTAATTTAACTACCCTCAAACAATTTTTTTAATTTTTTACTTTCAAAATCAATTTTTAAAATTTATATTTAAAACTGTTTTAGAAAACAAAAAAACTAAAACACTGTCAAACACCCCTTATATTTCTAATAAAACTTCGTAAGCAAGCAATATTACTATTCTGAATCGATCATATATGTTCCCATTAGAAGGGTTATACCCCTAACCCCTGCATTTATAAAGTGAAATAAATGTTATCTTATCCCATTCAATCTCAATATCCCTTCCCTACCGGATTTTTTAAAATGAACCGGGCCCATTTTTTTAGGGTGGTCCTTTTACTATTTTTGGAAAAATATATTTCCTTTTTTGTTCTTCACTTTTTTAAAAATTTCCTCCCATTCCTTTTTCTTTTCTACTTTTAGAAAGGGACCATGTGTGGCTGGCCCACTAAAACAAAACTTCTTCCCTGCACTCTGACATGGCATCTTGCATAAGGTAAGAATTCTTGCTTTACATCTAATGGGTGCACAATTATGGCCATCTCTCTTTTTATTGGAGAATATTCTCCATCTACAAATGCTTCTTGTCACTTTTGAGGAGGGACTTTTTTTCAATACTCACTCACATTGTTGTTATGCAAAATACAGCCTTGTTCTAGTCTCATGATAGAGATGTTAGTCTAAGACTAATAGATTGATATTGGATCTAAATGTTTTCTTAATTATCTATAAATTAGATGTCTTTGAATGTAGTAGATCACTATGAACTAGGAATAACAACATTAGCTAAAAGGGTGATGTATGTACTCAGTGATAACATATCAGCAGAGAGAAAAAGTGTTCATATCTATAGATTTTATCTCTTATTTATAAAATTTACCTATGAGTAGTGAAATTCTAAGCTTTTGGAGGCTTTTCTAGTGATCCATGTCTAGGTTCATACTGTCACGTTAAGATTAATATCCTTGATTGATGTTTTTCTTTATTTGTCTTAATTTTCTCTTTCAATTATCCTTTCTTAGGCCTTCTAAAATATGGGCCTCTCGGATAAGTTCATGACAAGCCCCAAAGCCACCATTTGCCCTACACTCTCTCCTTGGTTCTCAACTCATGTAAGACTCTCTCCTATTGAACTTAGCTTTATACATCGTTTGTCTAGCTAGATCGCTATTATATTGATATACTATACTCTTTTGAAGGAAATTTGTCTATATCATCTTCTTTTTTTGGAGATTAGGGAAATAAAACAAAAAGACAACTAAGGACTATTACAGTTGGCACAACCCAACACGTCCTTTTCTACATAATTACTACAGCCCTGAGGAACAATAGGAAGAATGTTAAGCTCCCAGGAACTATGGTTAACACTAGCAGCTAACCAATCTGCGAAATTTGTCTATATCTACCACAAAAACAGTTCAACTAGCAATGACAAGAATCAAATATGTAATTTGTTGGCTAACAAATTTGGGTTCTCTTCATTTTAAAATTACATATATTCTATCGTATCGTGAAAATTGCCTGCTGTAAATGTTCCGAAAGATGTAGAATTGATAATTGGATGATGGACCTAATGTTTGGGCGAACTCGATCAACCTCAAAATAATTGAGTTTGAATACCCTACGCGTGTAGGGAGGAAGGTGCCTAGAGAGTACCGAGTTGTTTCGGCCTCGATGTTTGGCTGATGTCGGAGATAAGTTAACACCGCCTCACCAATTTTTGTATAGCTAGGTCACCCCACAGCGGAAATATTAACGATGATTATAATCAAAAGCAATGAAATTAATTAATACACTATCAGCTATCCCTATCCAAATTTAAAAAAATAAAAATAAAAAATATTCAGGTAGTGTGCGCGCGTATATAAACGGAATTCATGAACAACTTGTTTGTTTATTTGAGTTTCGGGTTCTGAGCTTAGAATTTACTTAAAAGGTCCAAGCTCTCTCTTTTTTATGTGTGTTTTATTTTAGGAATATGATATTGTTCCTATCAAATAATGTTATTATCAATGTTATTATTATATCTTAACCATTGATTTCGGTCAATCAACGATTATTATTTATTGTGAATTAATAATTATTTAATGAATTTACTTTGTGAAAATAATAACCGTTGATTGACGAAAATAATGATTAAGATATAGTAGTGACATTGATAGTAATATTATTTGATAGTAACAATTTCCTATTTTTTATATTAACTTAATTATTTTCTTTGAGACGAGTCTATTCTCATATATCTTCATAAGTTTTAACTCTTTGAATTAACTATATATATAAAACTAATCTCGAGAGTCACCTTTTAGTTAGATCAAAAATAGAACACCCCCCTCCCCCTCTGACCTGATCAATGTGAGAATCCAAAATGTAAATTTAACATGTGGCTTATGCTAATTATTTATGGGTCACGAGCTCATTCAACAAAATACTATAAAAGTGCGACCTTTAATGAAAAGTATATTTGGTCTATAAATAAATGTCAGTAGGTATTTTGCCTAACCAATCACTTCGCACATTATTTTTTTCTACTATTTTTCAATAATATCACGTTGCTTGACTCGGAATTAATATATGCAAACCTTTTTTTCCGCTCAGGTCGTGAAGATACCCGAGAGACATAACTCGCCCCAAAAAATAATTACAGTCATGGAAAAAAGAATAACCTATAAGCTGAATTACCGGTCCAATTTTTTTATTGAAATTTCTGGCATAAGCTTAGAAGAACTCTTCTTCCCTGGCCTACATCTTTTTTAATAAAGAAAGATGTGAACTCCAGTATATATACCTTATATATCATATCGTAGTAAATTAAATTTTAACTTTTCTCGTTAGAGAGTCACATCATGTCTAACATGAATATCTGATATATACAACCACTTATAATATATATTACAATAATTATGTTCAGGATAATAACATGTCAATTGTTAATTGATTTATGGGGGAAAAGTATCTAATATTACTTTAGATAATTTTGTCTAATATTCACCAAAACGACATCGTTTCGGGATTGAAAAATTAAAAAATTAAAATGATAAAGACTATTATAACCCTGAAATAAATTAAAATTACAAACTTTCTGTTCAAAAATGACATCATTTCGATAAATATTACATAAAATTATCTAAAATAATTTTAGAAAAAACAAACCATAATCTAATATATATATATATATATATATATATATATATATATATATATATATATAAGCAAAATCTACACAAGTCTTAAACTTCCTCATGCTGAAATTATAATTAATAAAGCTTATCCATGCATTACAGCTGTTGACCTCTTTTAGTTATTGAACTTATGCAGTTGTAATTAATACGCACTAATTAAACAAATGATAATAACGTAAGTATATGCTCGTCAATCTATATAATATTATACAAAGCACCCAATAACTAGTCAAATCATTTTATCAGCAGTAGGTAATGTTGAATAATTGGTAAACACCTGCAGGTGGGAGAGTAGAGCTATAGCTTCTATAGTTAGAGTCGAATGATATATAGCATTTGGTCAATAATAATTGAGCTTATATATATAATAGGCAGATCACGAGAGTCTACATAACTAAGTTAAGCCTGTTCACCAACTCAGTGTCCCTGTTAAGGCAAAAGTTTTATTAGGAATGGGGGATGCAAGGGTCTTATTATATGCATGTTTCCCGTGATATAAATTCTGTCTTTTATCAAAGTTTTAATAACAAAATCATGTAAAACAAAAACATTAACATAAGGATTAACTAATTTTGGTTATATATGTATGATATTTTTATGTGTTTCTCTTTTCTTTTCTTTTTTAAAAAGGTTCTACTATATATATATATATATATATATATATATATATATATATATATATATATAAAGAAGCTTTAAATTTGTCCAAAGTCCTCAATTCGCTGGATGACATTTTTTCTAACTTGCCCCACCTCACCTTACTATTGCATCATGAACTATATGCAGTGCTTCATAATATTTTATGTCATGTCACCCAATCACGTCTCATCCTGGTTTTAGTTAACCACTTGTTAACTAAAGCATGAGCAAATAATATGTCGGACAGTAACATAGCCCCACCTTTGAATATCAAATAATAACCTTGTCAATTTTGCAAAGCATCAAACAGAAAAGGTGACAATTGAGATCGATTGCAAAAAATAACCTTTCGAAAAACATAAAATAAGACCCAAAAAAAAAAAACTATCAGTGATTGCAAATGGAAAAACAAAAAAACAAAAAAAACTGCCCAGTTAATAGACAGAGAATTGATGATCGCATCTATTGGCAGGGGAGTCCACAAAATCCTTGGCGAATTGCAGCGGAGGTTTCATTTAACAAGAGATTTATTCTTAAGAGTGAGATGAGTCATTGACACCAAAATATTTTCAGTGCTAAGAGACAACTGAAAAAGTTATAGTCTGAAAATATTAATTCACGGTCCATATGATTATTTCTAAAAAAACAAGGAACTAGAATTATTGGATTTTTATTTTTATTTTTTGCAATAAGTTTGCTGCGGACTTTAAGTGTGTGGTATACGCAAGAAGCAAACAATATACAGTGGATTGGGAGAACATAGACATTTTCACTTCAATGACCTAACAGTTACAAAAATATTATTTTTTTTCAAATAACAAAAATAATTACAAAATCATTTCAAATAAGACAAGTAAACAGAATATTTTTAGAAATATTTATGTTGAAAAATATGTACATATATTTAAAACATCTCAAAATAACTATTTTTATTAATAAAAGATTAATTATAATAAGAATCAACTTAAAACATTTTGTAAATAATTTATTATAACAAAAAAAATTAAATTTTAGGATAAAATATCTATATTTACTAATCCACAAATAAAAACTCCAATATATAAATTTTTATCCGCAATTGTAGCAAAATAAATACCATGCGTTATGCTAACTCACGAAAGCTCTGATACAGAAAATGGGCCAATTATAGAATTGGAGGCTGTGCTATAGAGTAAGTAAGGGAGGAATCGAAGAAGTTGGAATTGGCATTAATTGGGTCGGTTCTTGAATCTAATAGTTAGAGTCTTGGCCCAATAGAATTTGAGCCCTTTAATAGGACTTACAAATGGGATGGAACCGCCGTTTGTAATATATTTTTGGGTTTTAATATTTAAATATTACGAGAAATAAATTTATCTGCTATACACATATAAAAATATGTGAAGTCCATATAGAGCTAAGTGAAGAAAAGAAAGAGAAAAAAATATAGATCCTACACATTTTTATATGGTGTAAAAGATAACGTTATTTCCTACAACATAATAAACATTAATCTCGTACCTTTGTAATTTTGAATCTGCATTATAGCGAGAGGTTTTGTGCAAATTTTGGTTATTTGATGGCATGGTAGAAAAACACATACAGAGATACTTACAATTAAAAATAATTTTTTTTCTAAAATTAATTCCTTGTCTCTTTGCTACGATGCAAAGAAAATAACAGAAAGCTTCTCTTGTTATTTTGGTTTGTTTTGTTGTGCCTTGTTAGCTTTATGTTCCGATTAGTGATTTACTAATTTTTCTAGTCTAAGTTAAGAGAAGAAAAATCTAACAACTGTTTACAATTGAGTCATTGACTCTTAAAATGTTAAATTCTTAATAATGAGAAAATTAATACAAAGCTAAGTCTCACACCCTCACGGCCTCACCACTAAGTTATGTCATGCCCTTCTATTCTTAGTTTATGCATTATTAAAATTTAAGCTTGAATTTTTCTATTTAAAAAGGAAGCAAAACCCATAAAATGAGGACAGCTTATCTGTCAGTATTATATTTTACGGAGATAACATGTTCATATAATCCCTTTACATTTGTAAGGAAAATGAACATACAAGGCTGTCCTAAATCCTAACATATCATGGCACAATATTAGTAAAATAATTATTATTGAAGATTTGAAATAATTAGTAACATCTTTCATAATTCCAGCGTGATATAGCATAAAGTTGTCTCTCGTATGGTAATGCCAATGTACAATGTGTATACTTAGGAGCTGGCAAAAGGAAAAGGTGGAATCCTAGCAGCAGATTAACCTGCTTTCCTTCTCAAACCTGACATAACCCAATATAAGAATCCTGCAGAAAAGAAGCTAATAAACCAAGCATTGTTGTAGATGACAACAAAAATTTCAGGAACTGATGTTACAATTCCAACTTTCTGAAGGAAACCGGGGATTACTGGTAATATTCCAGCAACTAGAGCCACAATTGCTTTCACATTAAACCCCCTTGAATAATAGTAAGCCCCATAAGGACTCCGTGTATATAAATCTGTTATGGTCAAGTTTGTTTTTTGCACAAGATAGTAATCCACTAGAAGAACTCCACCAATAGGACCCATCAATGCAGAATATCCAACTAGCCACGTATAAACAAAGCTCTCACTTGACTTGAGAAGCCTCCAAGGTTGGAATGCAATTCCAATCAGTGCCGTTAAAAGAGCACCTCTTCTAAAGGTGAACCATGTTGGGCAGAGATTGACAAGAGCGTTTGCAGGTGCTACAACATTAGCAGCAATATTGGTCGTGATGGTTGCTAGGCTTATACCAAGGATTGCAAGGATAGTAGTTGCAAAGCCACCAATTTGACCAAGTAACTGAATTGGGTTTGAAATAACTTCACCAAATATCACTTTTGTAGATGAGGTAACTGCTATGCCAACAAATGTGAATGCTCCCATAAATATGGGAAGACCAGCTTGACCAATGATTTGGTCATTCTGGCTCTTGGCATATCGTGTAAAATCAGGTATGTTAAGAGCTAGAGTAGCCCAAAAACTAATATTAGCAGTTAGAGAAGGGGAAAATAGAGACCAAAATTCCGAAGTGGAAAGCCTAGAGGACAAGGATAGCATGTGACCAAAGCCGCCAGCTTTGACATAAGACCAAATCAAGAGGCAGGAAGTGAGGAAAATGAGTATTGGAGCTGAGTACTTTTCAAGCTCTCGAATGCCATCAATTCCTTTCCACACAATGGACAATTGTGCCACCCAAAAGGCCATAAAGCAAACAAGTTCAAGTGGGGAAGTGCCAAGCCAAGGTAGAGATTGAGACAATGTACTTTCTTTAATTGATTTTGGCAAAAGAAGGAAAATTGCTTCACCACCAATCCATGATTCAATCCCATACCAACCACAACCAATCAAGGCCCTTAGGAGAGTGGGAATATGAGCACCATGGATTCCAAAAGATGATCTAGCAAGAACAGGGAATGATATGCCATAACGGGTACCTGGATGACCAGTTAGTATAAGGGGAACTAAAAGGATCATGTTGGCTGCAACCACTGTGGCTATGCCTTGCCACCAAGCCATTCCAAGGTCAACAAGGCTACCAGCTAGGTAGTAGGAAGGGACTCCCACAACGAGTCCTACCCAGAGGCTAGCCATTTCCAACCCTGAAAAGGTTCGTTGGGTAGGTGCAGTTGGCTTGAGATCTTCATTGCTAAGTGTGGGATCAGGCTCCATCTCAAAATTTGTTGAAGTGAAAGGGACAGAAGAATTGGAGCATCTCATAGGGACATGATTAGCCAAGGAGTGGTTTCGAGCATGGAACTGGAGTATGAGAGAGTGAGAAGGCCTTGGATTTTTTGAAGTTGCAACTTGGGTGAGAAAAACATTTGGATGAGAGAGGGTAAGACATTTGGATAGCATGTTCATTGTTGTTGTAGAAACTAATGTCTGATGAATGTAGAGGATGGGTGAGGTCACTCTCTTCTTATGTGAATGAAAGGGCAAAAAAGAAAAAAGAAGAGGTTTCCTCTAAGTATGAGTTTCTCTTTTGACTTCTGGTTTTCTCATATCAGGAGCAACAATGAGACACCGTTTTATTTTGTTCATTGTTTGAAGTATAAAACATAGGGAAAGTATATCATCATACAAGTGTTATTTCATAGACAAAGAAGGTGTGTGCTCTATTGAAATAAAAAATAAAACATGGGGCTCTTTGTATCTATAAAATGATATAATTTATGTCATCTAAAATAACACATATTTTTTTCATAAAATATTAGTAGTTGTATGATTATTGCGAAATTGTATCCGCCAGCTAGCGTGCTTGTTACTCGTAGTGGTTATAATGATTTGATTCTAATATAAAAACAAGATACTCGATCTTTCAGACAGGTTGGCAAGAACAATGCAAAATAATAGAACCCAAAAAAATTATATTTATAAATTTTGTGTTTAAACTAGTATTACATATTCTGATAGAGTTGACTAGGAATGTATTTTCGTAAAAGGTTTTATAAGAGTTATGTTGTAGGAAGTGATTGTGTTATGTTATAGAGATTTGTTTTACGTGCCATAATTTTTATTTTTTTTTAAACATACGGGGCCCACAAAATGTTGTATGTGTAGGAAATATTTTGTGACCATGTTAAATGATAGAATGCAAACCCTTTCGTAAATATATAATGTAATTTATAAGAGTTTGTAAATATAACTTATTTTTAATAAAATATATATACATATATGAGTTTGATGTTTCTAAGAGATAAAATAATTTCATATACATATCAAAAAAAAAGAAAAAAAACATATGGGTCCCATTGTGTAAAAAATAATTTTTTTTCTTATAACGTGTTATACAATAAATCATATATATATTCTATTATTTTTGGGTTATATTTTTGTGATACAAAATATAATAGACCCATGTACAAGTGTGTAAACTATTCTTATTTTTGTCTATATTTTTTTTCAAAGAAGGTTATACTTATAACTTTTTTTATTGTGAATTAATAATTAATTAATGAGTTTAATTTGTAAAAATTATAATAGTTGATTGGCGAAAATCAACAGTGTTAAGATATAGTTATAAGAGATTGTAAAAAAAAAAAAAAAAAAAAAAAAAATTGTAAGTATAACTCATTTTTTTTTTTTTTTGCATATGTATATTTTTTGTAATTATTTTTTTTTGAAATAATTTTTGTCTATATTTTAGTTTCCCCATATCTTAACTGAACAAAAACACTGGGTTAGCGTCAGATGGGATGGGAAAAGAGAAAATGAAAAACATAAACGATGAGAGAGGTCGTGATAAGGAGAGAAACGAGGGATTAATTTCATTCAATACAAGGATATTCCCAATTTATATCGATCCCCCTTTTCAACCCTAATCGAAAGGACCAAAAGTCCAATCCCAAAATAGCTACCATATATCAACTACTTTTTACAGCAGAATCATGCAACAGAATCGTAATAGAACAATCGATATAACAAGACTATAGAACAAGTCCATCTCACAAATCTGCCAATGTCCACACTTACCGTAATGCTCGTCCTCGTCTAATCATCGAGGCCTTTGCTTCTGTCTTTTGTGCCTTCATTCAGCTACTGCTCCTGCATTTCCTAACTCCTTTGGACTCGTCTCTTCAACCTCTATTTGCATGCACCTCTTGCTCTAATGGGTTGATTTGGTCTTTTGGGCTTTACAGGCCTATTGTTGGCACTAGGCCTATATCAATTTTTTCTCTAATTTGCCCGATCTGCTTGAAAATCCGATCATACTTTTTTTTTTTTTTTTTTTATGTAATAATAGTAATAACATTAATCACAAACGAGATAAAGAATTATATGTTTTCATTAATAATTGATGACTTAAACTTGATTAATTAATTAAGAGATAATTTTTTTATCAATTAAGGGTCTTAATTTTATTAAAAGAAATTCATTAATAAAAACAATAAGAAAGGTAAATATCCAAATTGGCATATAAAGATAATCTATTATAAAATAAAGGGATAAGATGCTTGATACCGGTATCAAACTTTAAAATTTGACACCAAATCCTAACCATTGATTTTCATCAATTAGCGGTTATCATTTATTGAGAATCAAACTTATTAATTAACTATTAATTTTAATAAATGATAATCGTTGATTGACGAAACTTAACGGTTAGGATTTGAAGTCAGATTTTAAAGTTTGACACCAGTGTTAAAGGATCCTACCCCTAAAATAAAATATGTGATATATATGGCTTTAAATTTTTTCTAGTTATAAATGTTATTAAAATATTTTTTTTCTTAAAATAAGATTGACATCCTTACTAAATTTTAAAGAAATTGACCAATTTATTAACCAATAAAAGAAAAAAGAAATTGACCAATTGCTGCGGTATTATGGTATTCAATTTCAGTTTTTAAACATTCATTGAGTATTGATATAAATATTTAAAATTTAAACAAATAACAAGCAAATAATGAATTATTCGATGGACACCATCCCTAAATAAATAAATTAATGCCAAAATTTTGAAGTTAAGTATCATAATCAATTGTCTCATTAAATTAAAGTCATGGTATTCCAAAACACAATTTTCTTTCTTTGAACAGCACAATTACACATGTCAAATACATCACCAACAACTTCTTGTTGCTTGTCACTTCCATAGTGTAGAATTGGTATGGATACCCAATACCATGCGCATATTCCACTTGAATGAAGCAGTCAAATTAACCGAACAGAACCCAACTTTAGTGGAGCAAACGTTTGAAAAATTAAGAAACATATTCCAAATACTAGTTCTAAACAATTACAACACATAATACAAACACTTCTTTTCATTCTTATTTAAACACAACCTCAACCAATTGCACAACGTGCGAATGGATAAATCAACCACAATCATCCTGTGACTAGCAAAAGCCTAAAAGCCAAACGCGGATGAACGATGGACGACAAGGAAGCCAAACACGGATCCTTTGTCACCCCTCTTGTTATCTCCGCTGCTGGCATTATATGCTCCACTCTAGCAATAGCAGCGTACCATTTCATTCTCCTGAGGTATTTCCTCAGGCCTCACAGAGTACAACGTAGGAACAACAGAAACCGCATCAAAAAAAGTGGCGGGGTCCAAGAAGAAATTCTCAACAAGATCCCCATTCTCTCTTACTCAACTCTTAAAAACGAAGTCTTTCCTTTGGACCATAATGAATGTTCCATTTGCCTTGGCGAATTAGAGGATGGGGAGCTTGTGCGTTTGTTACCTGCTTGTTACCATGCCTTTCATATTCCTTGCATTGATGCATGGTTCAAGGACCATGCCAATTGCCCCGTTTGCCGGTCACCAATTACTTGTGATTGTGAATCAGCGGTTCCAATTGTTTCACAAAATGGTGACCAACAAAGGGTCTCGGATGTGCATGCCATTATTCCAAGTGATCATCATCATATTAATGTTAATGATGATGTGAGTGCTTCCATCACGAGGTTTCAACAACCTCAGCCTTTGTTGCTTAGACACTCTCTCTCTTTCTCATCATCGCACGTGCAGAAAAAGCCACGAGCTTTGGTCATGGGGTTGAAGAGGTCATTGTCTTTGGATCAGTCATCTTCATATATTGCCATGACCATACTAAGAGATCAGGAAATGGCTTCCACCAATTCTTCAACAAGACACGTTGTGATGAGTCAGTATAACTTTAAATCAAGATCACTGAGGCATCTTGATCACATGTCTTCGGTGTTGATGAGATCCTTCTCGCAATTTCGGAAAAGTGGAAGTGGGAGATCCAATGGGATTCTTCCAAATTGAGATCCTGCGGATTTTTTTATCGTATTGCGCTTTAATGGTTTTACTTACCATGAATCATGACAGTCTCTAATAAGTTGATGGTGACCTTCTACTTTAATTCTTCTCTTCGAACAAATTAGTTCAAACACATATTTCTCATAGAAAAAAAAATAAGACTAAAATATATTCTTATTCTCAAGGGATATATTGAATTGACCTTCTCTCCTCTTTCATTTTTTATCTTCAATAATATACTTACCTTCGCTGAGAGTTCTAACCATAATCATGCAGTATTTTCTGACACACTTCTTTGGGGTTATAAGTTTTTTCTGATGTGTTTATTTCGTGAATTTTATAATATTGCTTTCTTTTTTTCTTTGGATTTGGTATTTGTCCTTTTCAATGACATAAAATTGTGTCATTTTAAGTGAGAATAAGAGATAAATAATCAAAATCATAAGGGATTAACTAAAATGATCATCATTTAAAAGGACAATTTTTTTTTCTTTTTTTTTTCTTTTATACAACGATATTTAATTTATAATTTCATCCATATTACTCAAGTCATTCACCGTTACCTCACTCCTAATGTCTTATTTTCTTATACACTCAACTCTTACTTCATACGACTGATGACATAAATAAGTTCTTAGATTTATGTTTGTGAAGATGCATATTACAATGCAAGTAATTAATAAAACAATGAATAAAGTATTGCTTCACTTACATTGCAAAAATTTAAATCATTCAAAATAACAAAACAATAATTTTAAATAAACAAGCATATTAAAATAACCAAACAGGTCAAAAAATGTAAGCAAGAATTAACCAATAACTTGCGCACTAGGTTTATGATTTAACCACAACTACATAACGAAAGTCAATTATGATTTATAAATGATCGCATTCTTGAATGTTAATTACCATAGTATATGAACCGGAAGATTCATAAATGTATCCCATAGAGCATGAAATATGTCAATTTAAGGGTGCTTATAGTGGCAATGGTAGAGATTAAAGCACTGTATAAACTTCCCATTATGCTTCATAACAAAGGGGGAGTGTGTGATTGTGAAGATAGCTAAGGTGACTCTCCATAGTTGGTTGCAGAGTAACACAACATGAAAGTTGGGTAGAGGAGAAGATCCCCCTTCAATGTGTAAAGGGGGTGTTTAGAGAGAGAATATGGAAAGCTATCATCTAGTCAGCCTAGCCTTTTCAGGCTAGGCATGCTGAACCCATTGTGTCTGCACAGGAAGTAGCCGTGCAAAAGGGGAGAAAATGAGATCTTATGTGATGCTCTCTAGAAGGTTCTAGATGCGAACTTTGATATTGGGCTTAATGAACTGGGCCTGAAATGGCCTACCAGTACAGTATAAAACCTAATACCTCTTTCAAATCACAAAAAATATGATAGAATTAAAATGATATCTTTTTTTTAAGGCTGCAATTAGTCAAAAACACATTCTAAGTTTTGAGACACTATTTGACATTCAAGAACTTGATAAGGAGATTTTTACCATCCTTATGGTCTTACCTGCCTCGATCAGACTAATTAAGCAATTGACAAACCTATGTAGAAATTAATATATATATTGGAAAAGTATTTCTACAGCCACTTTAGATAGGGTTATCTACTAGCTACTCTTTTTTCACTAAGTACGACCGGTCGTACTTAGTGATAACAATAAAGCTGTTCTTTTTTTCTCTTTTCTCAGACATTGTCGGCTGACGTGACGGAGAGAGAAAATGCAATTTTAATGTACGACCGGTCGTACTTAGTGAAAAAAGGGTAGCTGTAGAGAAGCTTATCTAAAGTGGCTGCAGAAATATTTTCTCCTATATATATATAGAGAGAGAGAGAGAGAGAGAGAAAGAGAGAGGGGGGTAGGGTAGGATCCTTTGACACTAGTGACAAATTTGAAATTTGACACCTCATATGAGAGCCGTTAGATCAAAAAATATTAACGACTCTGATTTGTAAACATGTGACACCATTGATCTTTTTTGATCTAACGACTCTCAGATGATGTGTCAAAATTTAAATTTGACACTGGTGTCAAAGGATTCTACCTCATATATATATATATATATATATATAGCCTATTTCTATGTCATAATTGCTAATTTCAATTTCTTGATTTTCTCATACTAGACTGCATCTTTCTATCATTCACTTAATACCTATGATCATGCTAATTATATGGATAGCGATATACTTTAGGCAAAGTGATAATTTCATTTTATTAAGTAACCAATAAGGCTTCCATCACAAAAGAGAATGAGAGCTACATATGTTGTTCATATAAAAAAGGGTTCAGTCTCTTAAAAATATTAAAGAGCACATAAAATTAAAAGATACAAAAGAAAACATAAATTTACCCTAATCTAAAGTAAAAGAATGAATAAGATGAAGTATGTTGCCAAATTTCTTCAATATGCTTCCTTTGATCATGATTTGAATCTTTTTCTTTTTCTTTGGTACTAGATTATGATTTGAATCCTTATTTTTCAATCAAATTTATCTTTTTGGGGGCTCTCTAGCCTTCTTCTTTGTCCATCATGAGCTCCCATCTACAACGGATTTCTGTTTTACAGCTTTCCTATCTTTTTATTCTTTTTAATATGGGATTTATTTTTCTACAGAAAGATTTATCTGTTATAGACACATATTCACCAGAATCGATCGACAAATATTGTTTTTTAACCAGGATCCAATGTCGAATTATGTGGCAGACAAAGTATTTCTGCTACAAAGGCAGAATTAATCTTTTAATATTTGTAGAAAATATGTCTAAGTTATTATAGTCTTAATTATTTGAGGTTTTTAGTTGGTCTTTTGGTCCTCATAACCTTTTATAATTCTTTCAAGTTTCAACTCTTAAGTAGGATTCCAATTCTTATCAGGTAAAACATGATTTAGATCTTTTTTTAAGCTTTATCATTAAGGTTCACATAAATTGATTCAAAATCCTTAATTAGGATTTCACTTAAAAGATTAAATTTAAAATATAATAATATAAAAATGTTAAAAATCTAAACAAAATAAACTAAAGTTAAATCTATAAAAAATCCTAAAAATAAAGCTTAAAATGCATATAATTTTGCATCACATCAATTTGTTCCTACTCATCTCTTGCTAATTCGTCGGTACGACGTCATTCCTAAATCTTACGACAAATTATTGTTTTGGGAGTATATTAATATTAAATTGAGTAATCCCTATTGGAAACTTTCATTTCCCTTACCTCATATGGTTACTATATATAAGAAAATATTGCTAAATGATACAAATGTATTTTCTGTAAATTGACTCGGTAAAAAAAGTTTGGCTCGCTTAATTTTTTTCAAACTTCACTTTTTTCCCCTCCAACTATGATTGGATATGATGAGGCATTCGTAGCAACTTTTATACAAAAACTTTTGTAAGAAATAATATTGTTCTACTATATAAACATAACACTAAAAGAAAAAATAAATAAAAAATGTCTTAATTTACCTTGAGTTAAATCTTGGGTTACGCATGCTTTTGAGAGTTGAAAATTCTGAGTAGCCATCAGTTCATATCTGCTGGGTGGACTTTATTCCTATCCAGGTATTTATAAAACACGGATTAATTAAATATTAAATATTTCTGAGCATTTACTGTTTTAGCCGGTTCATGATTACTTCATGTTATTAGTCTATTATATATGTGTATTTAGAACAATATGGGTTGTGTTAGGTTTGTGAGTCTCAGGCTGAATTTTGTGTGATTATTATGTTGACTAATATTCTTGGTCAAAAATATAGTCCATGCATGCTCTCATCACTTTATATGTACCATAGTAACCTCTATTGAAATCTCTTGATTTTGCTAAACATTTGGAGAAATGAGAGTAATTTCTTTCTTACGCGCACAAATCCTTATCAACGGATTCTTCTTTTATTATCAGGTAATTTTATATCTTGATGATAGTTAAAATCTCAATTTATCACTATATTTTTATGCTTTTATAAAAAAAAATTATCAAAACATTTTTACCAATATTTTAAGCGTTTTTTACATTTTTACAATTTTTTATGATTTTTTTACATTATGATTTTACGTTTTACAATCTTTTATTCCTCTTTCAGTGTTAGATTTGGGTTAAGCCCATTAGTGTATCTATATATTGTACCTCTTGTGTCAATTCAATACTACTCAAGATTTTACAATTCCTTTCGTATCTTGTTATTTAACAATTTTTATATAAAATTTCATTTTTAACTGTCTCTCTTACTTGTATACATATAATAAATTGAGGTTGAAGGTAGATCTATATGCTTAATCTTAAAAGCTCAATTTTCAGAACTCCTACCTAATTTTTTGGCTCATTAGTTTAATAAGTAGAGAAGAGGAATCTACGCAATTATGATCCATACGCACAACTAATCATTCACGTTTGTTACCCTTAAGCTATGTTCCCCTGATTTCCCCTGGCCAAAAAAATAAAAATCAAATCGAAGAATCAAAGAAATTAGCTAGCGGATATAAAGAAAGGGAGACGTCGGATTCAAGAGAATAAAGGGCAAAAAGGATAGAAAGTGTGGGCAATTCATTGAGCTCTCCAAATTTGGTAATGATAAAATAGAAAGTTAAATTGTCGGCGTTACTTTACATGCACACGTATTAATAAAATAATAAAAATAAATAATATAACATGTTCTGGTTATCTTTATGTAAACGGCCCATGTGGATGGTGGACCATTGAAAACTATAAAACGGACTTCACGAAGACTTGCTTTTTAATTTCTTAATGACATGTACACCCGCAACTATTTAATATTATACAAATCTGCATTATTGGTTCTTCACAAGGGAGAATTTGGTTTGTATTTGGGACCCAGACCCGAAAAGAGGGAACTTTCCTATATACCCTTTCCTTTCTTTTCCCACATCGTGGACCTTGGACAAATCCCCCCCCCCCCCCCCCCCCCCCCAAAAGGCTCCTATTCTTTTTCTTTTTTCTTTTGTATTGAAAAAAATAAAAATTTATAATAACGAGGTTTCCCCCCAAAGAGGATTGTAATAAAAGGGGGGGGGGGGGGGGGGGGGGAAATTGGTTGAATATTGAATATGTACAAATTTTGAAGGTAGAAGGAATAACCATTAGGAGCCAAAAGGAGCCCTACGAGGAATGCCTTTTCTTCTCCTTGCATTTGAAGCAGATGGAGGAGGAGGCGTGGCCAGATACATGTCTTGTGTTGAGCCTTCACGCAATTCTTCTTCTTGCTGTCTGGTGGAGACTGATTTCCTTGATATCCTCTCCCTTGTAGTACCCGTTGTCAATGCTTCACTCTTACCATCCAAGGCAAAGTTTGCATCCCCATTTTTCTTTATTCCTTCAAGCTAATTAAATCATTCAATCAATTCCCAATAAAATAATGAATACCATCAAATTAGACCAATAATTAATTTAATGATAATCGATCGCATTCATTAATTTTATATATATATATATATATATATATATATATATATATATATATATATCCTGTCATGTTCCCAGCAATACTGTTCAATAATAATTACCGTTATATATAAAACTAATGCTTCTAACTATTATTATTATTATTATTATCATTATAAATTAATCAAAATGTCAATGCTAGCTATACTTAGATATAGAGACATGATGAATATTAAAAAGTGGTGGGAATATAATTATGATGGTGAATGATGGTGATGGGCTTTCAAATGTAGGTGATGATGTATGGGTGGTGGGTGTTATACCCATATGATGAGGATGATTGAGTTGTGAATGATGTGCATGTTGATAATGATACGAACAATATTGAGATGGAAAAATAATAATCATATTATTATTAGTAATAATAAAATCCAACCTTACATCCCAAAGAACAGAACCGAAATGGGTCCAAGAGGTTTCTTCCGCAAATCTCACAAATGTGAGCTACTCCTTTTCCAGTTTTTGGTTGAGGCCTCACATTCAGGAACAGAACTCGAGCGCTGTTAATCACATATGTTTGAACTCCACTTATGTCCAATACCTTTTGAATTTCCGCGACCCTTACTACATCATGGTACGAAGATCTTCTTATCTAATCAATAACAACACCACAGATTAATTAAATAGGAAACATATAGAATTTGAATTATTATTCTCTGGAACATTATAAAATCAGCCCCATTGTCCAAATGCATATATATCAAAACCCATTATATTAGCTATATGAGAAATGGGGAAAATTAAATGCTCATTAATCAATTAGTTGTAGTACTCGACCCACCTGAATGACTTGATGATCTTTGTGTCTTGAAGAACGACAATAAAAGCAAAAAGCATCGTCATGGCAATCAAGGCAATACATGTTACACTCGCTCCTGGCTGCATCCGAATGAATCCGACACACGCTGAAGAAGGGTGTGTGCAGTAATGGTTCAAGCCAAGGAGGCACCAGCATTGTGTCCTGTTCAAATTAAATCCAGTTTATGAAAAAATGGACATTCTAAAAATCATAGCTAAATTACCACACAAACACATATAGCTAAATTACCATTGTCGTTAGTGGTAGATAAGAACAATAGTAATAATAATGTGGCTCAATGAGTGAGAGAAGAATGTGGATTCAGAGAATGGTATTGGGATTCACTTGTTAAAACGATAATGGCGGATTCACAGAGGGAGAGAGAGAGAGAGAGAGAGAGAGAGAGTAAACGGCCTTCAACTTATAATTCAACAACACAACAACGCTAAAGACTATAGGGACAAAGGGCGATTAAATAAATGGGAGATTGGATGGATGAGATGGAAAGTGATGGATGAGGGAAGACCATAACCGTTGGATGATTGGAGATGCGTTTTGGCGCTTACGCTACTTTGGATCTTCTTTGCGTCTCTACGTTGTTTCGACACAAACCCAAGGTTCGGCTACTTGGCTACGCGTTAGCTTCAATACCATTATTTACCTAACCTACCTTATATTTTCCCCTTTTTCATCGCCATACTTCTCCACGTGGCAATCATCCTACCGTCCTTCATACATTGGTGGTCCCACTGCCATGGCATCATAAAGGATATTACGTCAGCTTTTTTTAAAAAATTCTAAATTACTTTTAATGTATGCTTTGGACAATTTTGTAGTCAATTAAATATATTTAATTTTACGACTTATAAGATGATGATCACGCTAACTTAAAAAATCGTTTTATAGAAAAACTAGTAAATATAATTTAAAAATTAAGAATTATTGAATTAAACTGCACATTAACGCAGTTAATTAACTTTTTAACTATAGACGTTTATATAATTTTTTCGTAGTTATATCGTATGTTATATTTGAAATGAAATACATCAAATGTTTCAAGAAAAACTCTTTTTTAGATTTTGGATGCCGCAAACAAATTTGTACGTCATCGTATTTGCATGAAAAAAAAAAGAATATATATATATATAATATTTATATTTATATACTAATAATATTAAAGTTTGAAGTTATAATTTCATACAAATAATTCAAGTTCGTTATATATTTAAATGAAGAAAAATAATAGAAGCGGATTAAAAAATATAAAATCATATAAAATGACATTTGTATTCTTATTTTATATGTAATGAAATATAATTTTTTATTAAAATGTACTATAAACCTACTTTTTATAAATTATATAAATAAATAATTTTTTAATAAATATCAATTTAAATTATTTATAATTATTTATCGATACTTTTATCATATTTTAAACAGTTTTAATTAAAAAATCATAAACTTTTATCTTACAACCTTTTCCCATCAACATCTTTCGCTATTGTGTTGAAAGTGATTTATGAATTCATTCTATAAATATATGCGCATGAATTAATTTCAATTGTTTGTGTGAAATATTCATTTCCTTTTCTTTCTTTCTTTTTTAAAGTGAAGATGGATTTTTCGAAAAGTTTAGCTCCTTGTACTGAAAGACGTATTTCTTTAGTCTTCCTCTCCCATTAAATGCAAACTTTGTAACGGGTTTTCGTCATAAATTTCAACCCTACCTTACTCTCACAGTTCCTAACCTTTCTCTTCCATTCCACATATCCCAACTGCATGTGCTAGTTTTAATATTGCAATTTTTCCATAATCATTCAACCCCGCCCTTTTTACATTAAAAAAAAAAAAAAAGCTCAGCTTGACAGCCTCCCCGTGAAAATTTCTAATAGTTGCATTATTCACTCCAATTTTCTTCGCATCAGAGAAATGCGAGAAATTTTTTGTGTGATCCACGGGTGTTTTTATTTTTTCTCTTCTCTGTTTTTTTCTTTCATCCAAACGGGAGAAAAACAATCCAAATATATTATTTTTTTTTTCTCTACCTGTTTTATTTCTTCCTTATTTCTCCTGATACAAAATATTACATTCCTTTGGTAATTTATTCTATAAAAAGAAGATTTTTAAACCACTGTTGCAAGAAATAAGGATATATTATTGTAAAAAAAGGATCTGGGTAAATGATTAAATATTTGAATGAATACGAATTAAGTAACAATTAACAATTTATCTGTACATAATATAAATTTTCATACATTATCACATCTTTCTTCCCTTTTCCTTTTATAATTTCTATTTCTCGATCTTTTATTACTTTTTTTTGAAGGAAAATATTTATCTAATTTCCAATCAAGTATATATAATGGTATCAATGATTACTTTTAACTATAGAAGATAAGATGGAATTTTTGTACGAACCATTTTTTTTAGCTAGTAAATAATAGTAAGTTTTTTTAATACATTTCCGTTATTAATATGTTAAGAATCAGTGGTTATATATACGCTATTTTAATTTTTTGGTACATGGATTATTGAATTTTAAAATAAGCCCTGGAAGTTAAAACATTATTTTCAGCTATGCTGTATAGTTACCAATTACCATTGTATTTGCATAAATGGAGACAAAATGTCATGTCACGAAGGATTGATCTTCTGTTTAATTGCGTTCAACCAAAGCCACACAAATATTTCTTTGCTTTTTCCCTTAATTATTATTTTTTCTATATTGTTTTGGCCAAAAAATTTATTTTTTATTTTCAATAGTAGATGGCTGTCTGCAGCCATGTCGTGAGTGGAGACAAATTTTTAGTGTATCATATATATTTAACTCGATACATTTTTTTTAAAAGAAGAAAAATTTTTAATATGGTGAAAAAAATAATTCTGAAATGATAAAAAATTTCCAAATGTGAAAAAAAATATCGAATACATCTGGCACAAAAATTTATTCCATTCCACAATTCCAAACTGTTGTCAGGGATGAATGAAAATTTTATAAACCTCAAATAGAAATACCATTGGTTCGACATGTGACGAATTAAATAGTAAATATTAAATAATTGAGAAAATGGTTATATTGACAATTTTTTTTACAAATTTACAAATTACATTATGTTTTATCGATAAGACTTCACTCAAAAGTGTCTTGCCGGTAAGACATAATATAATTTATAAGAGTTTGTAAATAAAAAATTTATAAATATAACATTTCTCAATAATTAATATAAAAAAATATTCCAGCATTCGCACCAAATCCATAAAATAATATATTCCAGCATTGATTAGAACCTTGAGACTGATTTGTCATATTGGAACTCACCATTAACTAATTTAAATGGCTTCTCATGAATTGAAAAGAAATAAAGAGTTGTCATTATGAAATTTAAACATGCACTGACTGATGTTTTTGCATGTATAATAAAGATAGCTTTTCCAGTATTAAAAGACTAAGATCTCGTGGCTCATGCTGGCTGTTCCCTAAAACTAGTATTATCATTCATTATTTTAAATAGAAAAAAGACCATTGTAATGTAATTTAAAAAAATAAAAATTCTCAAATAATATTTTTTCAAATATAATATTATTCCAATGCAGTAAATTTCACAATCTGTCCATGCGGAACTAGTCTGCAACTCTGCATATTCTATGTAGGATTGTCACGTTTCGCCTCATTACATATATGGGGAAAAACAAGTAAATTAACCACAATTTAAACTATGGCTAATTTTATACTAGTCCCCCATGAGGATGTATGAGACTGATCTTATGAAATTAAACACTTTTAAACCGTGGTTAACTTTTATTCAAAATAAAACTCTAACCTCATTAAAAGTGTACAAGACTAATTCAATATTGTTGAGATATATAGTCCCACATTGATTGTATGTGCAATTAATGTGTAGTTTATAAGGCCTTGGGCACTCCACCCTTTGAGCTAGCTTTTGGGGTGGTGTATCCCAAGGTTTTTTACATGGTATCAGAGCCTCGCCGCCCCCCACTTTCTCTTGTGGCGTTTCTTAGCACAGGTAGGCTGGGCCTGTTGCATTGTCCACTCTTCAAGCCCAATGGGCTCTCGTGTGAGGGGGCGTGTTGAGATATATAGTCTCACATTGGTTGTATGTGCAACTAATGTGGAATTTATAAGGCCTTGGGCACTCCCACCCTTTGAACTAGCTTTTGGAGCGGTGTATCCCAAGATTTTTACAAATATAAATAAAATACGAGACTTACTGTATTATAGTGATATTATATTTGAAAATGACATATAACTTTAGTTTTTTTAATTTACATTAAAAGGTTGTTTTGTCTTTCAAATAGTGCTTTTCCTTTTATTTATGGGAAAAATGTTTCTGCAGTTAATGCAGATAAGTTATCTGTATTTATTCCCAAAATGACGTCGTTTTGGTATTGGAATCTTAAAAAATTATAAATATAAAGACTATTATAACCCTGAAATAAATTAAAATTACAAAAACACCATAATTTCCGTTCCAAAACGACGTCGTATTGGCTTACTGCAGATAACTTATCTGCAGTAACTGCAGAAAAAGTGAACCCTTTATTTATTTATTCCAATTTCATATATATACAAACAGTGGCGGATCCAGGAAATTAATGAAGGGTGGGCACTGTTCAAGTACATATAGATCTGGGTCTAGTCTGGAACGCGACTTGCGAGCAGGTGCCGGCTGGTTGGGTCTGATTTAGATCTAGATTTGGACAGATTGCGACTCAACTTGACCGTTGATAGAGAAAGAAACAAATGTTCCAACTTATAATAACATAGATTGAGGTTTGAGAGGAGATGAATCAGTATATAGATGCAAACGAGCTCTCTGCTGTTAGGTTTGGATAATGAAGGTGAAGGAGGAAAAAAAAACTTACGAGAAAATAAAATAGGAGGAAAATTAAAGGGGTAGGATATCGTAACAATCAATTAGGGTTACCACCAATGTTACTACTAATCAATTTCACCGTTAGATCGATTATGTGGATCCAACGGTTATATTTATTCTATCTTTGTATGGTTATGATTCCCCATATTTAATACTTTATATTTATTTTCACCTTTGTATGATTATGATTTTCCATATTTAATGATTTTACATTAAAAATGAGGATCAGAACCATACAAGATGAAAATAAATATAATCGTTAAATCAACATAATCGATCTAATAGTGAAATTAATTGGTAGTAATATTGGTGGTAACACTATTTGGTTGTTACAATATCTACCCCAAAATTAAATTAGGAAAATTTGAATTTTAAGAGAAAAATATTTTTATATTTTTGCATCAGATTTTAAGGGTGGGCACTTGCCCCCTTCTCTAACACTTGGATCCGCCTCTGTATACATAACACGTCATTGTTTATTTATATAAAGCCAAAAGTCGTATTTTTATACGAGGTAGGATCCTTTGACACCAGTGTCAAATTTGAAATTTGACACCTCATCTGAGAGACATTAGATCAAAAAAGATCAACGACTCCTGATTTGTAAACATGTGACACCATTGATTTTTTTGATCTAACGGCTCTCAGATGAGGTGTCAAATTTCAAATTTGACACTGGTGTCAAAGGATCCTACCTCTTTTTATATCTTTGTTTATTTATTTTTTATTTTTAATATCTTTATTTTAAGTGAAATTAAATTATTTTGTATTGGTATCAGCATATTCAAACTGAAACAAAAAAATAAAAATAAATTTTATTTAATTAATTAAATTTTAATATGGTCATCTTCAACTTCCGTTTTCTTCCCATATATTAACATATTAATCCTTTCAAAAATCCGTAAGATTATATGCCCTGAGGCAGATTTTTTTATAAATAAAAAAATAAAATAAATCATTCATTCTATTTGCAATGGATCCGCGTTTGTCACGAAATTGTCTAATGTAAAAAACAAAGAAGAAGAAAAAAGGAGGTTATGATATTTCCTTAAATTAAAAAAAAAAACGTATATGAAATTATACTTGAGATAGTGAATCACGACTCTAGACTCTAGAGGACCAACATTCAAAAAAAAAAAAAAAGGAGAACCAGATCCGTGAGGGAAACAATAAAGTGAAAGATGTGTATATGAAAAAGTTTGAGACAAATGCGAAATAAAAAAAAAATACTTAGGTAGTGTTTGGTTGAAGGATTATTTTGGGATTGATGGGAAAGTGTAAGTGGATATTGGAGAATACCACGTTTGGTTCAGGTTTTTTCAAAAAAAATACTAGGCAAATGAGATAGATGAGGAAATGACTTTTGTGTTGATTTTTGGATGAAATTCACTGTTACAGAATACCACTTGAGATGTGGTATTTTGAGATAACTGAGAGAGTGAAAAAACAGGTGCGAAGCTTCTCCCGAACATAGATTTTGCAAATTTAAATAAATTTTCCTGGTAATATTTCGGTCTACCAAACAACTTTTTTTATATTTTCCTACTAAACTCACTTTCCAACCATTTTTCTAGTAATTACATTTCTCTATTATTCAAAAAATTTCTCCTCAATCAAACACAAGGTCGACTTGCAAAGTAAAGATCGAGGTTCATATCCTCACTTCTTATATTGCAATAAAAAAATTAGTTCTGATCATTAGTTCGATCAGAAATAAGAGAAAGAATGTCATTTTTAATTGTGTTTTAAAGATATTATAAATTTGATGCGCATGACAGTGATCTCAAGTTAATAATAATAATAATAATAATAATAAACGACTTGAATTGGGGCTTGTAGACTATATATGACCAAGAGCAGGAGCATTTTCCCTAATAAAAGTAGAACAATATAGAAAAGGAAAAAATAGTTGAAACTTGAAAATATGTTAAAGGAAGGCGAATTATGCTGCAAACTGTGGCGCCAAAGGTTCGTATCTAAACAAGTAGTTTTTTTTTTTTTTCAATGAGAATATCGAAATAAATAATTAACAAAGAAAGAGCGGCTCCAATAAAACAACAGATTAACCTTCAATAACCTGGCTGTCAAGACATACTTTGCTTGGTATTTTTGTTTTCATGGTCAATTTTTTAGTGAGCAAACAAAGATTAGAGTAATAAAAAAGGACTTTAGTAATCTCATGTTGTAGGAGAGTGTTATCTCATATCATAGACACAATTATGGATGGGGCCCACTCACTTATAAAAAATAAAAAATTACAAATTAAACTACACGGAAATCAATGGGTGTATAGGAAAAAAATATTATCTTATGTTGCATAAGAATAATATTTCCAATAAAAAAACCGAACAAGCCTAGGAGAATGTGAAACCAGATAAGCATTGCACAATTGAATTGACATTTCTTACTCTTAACCTACATGATTTGTCTTTTATCATATTGAAAAATATATACTAGATGAAGCGTGAATAAACGATGAGTAATAGAAGTAAGAGTTTTTTTCTTTTTCTTTTTCTTTTTTGGAAATAAGAGTTTTTCTTTTTTTTGGAGTTACCCAACCCTAATTATCTTTTTGAGACGAGTTGCCTCCTTCCGGTATCCCCACACGAGCTTCGACTCTTTGAGCCGGCTATGAGACTAATCCGGAGTGCGGGGGAACAGTGAAATAAGAGTTTTTCTTTTAAAAAAAAATCAAGACATTTGTCAAAGAATTACAAAATAAAATGGCTATAACTATCAGTAATTTCATGTCAGATATATCAAACCATATACGGAGATATTTTGTAAGAGTTGTTTATAATTTGAAATTTATTCAAAAAACAAAAAGTGTTGAAGAATTGTACTTAATAAAAATAATATCATATCAATACATATTGAAAATGGTATTTGACTTATGTCACTTGCATGAAGAATTGTGCTTAATAAAAATAATAATAAACAATATATATATATATATATATATATATATATATATATATATATATGTATATATATTGTTTTTTATATTATAAGATGACAGTTTATTATATTATTTGTTGACACATAAAAATATATATTCAATTTTGTAAAATAAACAAGAATAAAAGAAACTTGAAATTATCCATGGAAGTCTAACAACCCAATCACGTGTCCAAAAAATAAAAACAAATTTTATGATAAATTTAAGGCTTTAATGTTTCTACCGTGAAGGTAGATAACTTATCTACATTCATTCTCAAAACGACGTCGTTTTGGGTTGAAAGATAAAAAAATTATAATGAAAAAGTTATTATAACCCTGAAATAAATTGTAATTACAACAATACCTTGATTTCAGCCTCAAAACGACATCGTTTTGAGCTCAATGTAGATAACTTATCTACATTGAATGTAGAAAAAGCGAACCCTAAATTTAAAACAAATTATTTGCAATAAAAAAATATAATTATATGAAATTAGAACACCAATAGATGAAGGCTTACATGTTGAAGACGTAATCCTTGATTTCTATCTTGTTTCTTGTTTGCTCCGATCTTTCTGCAAGGTTTGAAAAATCAGGATCTTCCTCTGCAGTTTACATCACTCCCTGATCACAATTATCGATGGGGCAAATTGTGGAGTGACAATTTTTCAACACACTATGAATGCAGAGGTGACCTAACCAAACTTATTAATCCTAGTCCCTTCCCATCATGAGTATATGGGTTCGACTTATACTATTATCCACACTAATCAATTTACATATATTCAAGTCCAAACAAAAAAAATCACTTAATTAAATGAGTTTTATACTGCACTCTCGTATGGATAATGACTTAGCCCGTTTTTATCAAAATATGAAAAACTATAATTGATTGAAGTTCACAATGATTATAAAAAATTCTGACATTATAAACTCCACAAACTACGATCAGAACTTATTTATCTAAGAATTAAATTTACTCATAAACAAAATAAGTGTATAACAAAATAATAAATTTTTGTAGTGAAGTTTCTTTGGTAAAAAAGCAAGAGAATCTAATCGGATAGCTCAACCGGCCATGACATGGTTTGATCCTTGGCCAAAATAATTTTTGAAATCCTTTGGGGATCAGAGGAAAAAGACTCTCCCTTGATGAATGATTAGTCTCATTCTTCTTTTCGATAGAGGTGATTCAATGCACTATATGTTTTAATAAAAAAATAGCCTTAGGGCCGTATTAAAAAAAAAAAAAAAAAGTTGAACGAAAATACTTTCTAAAAAAAAAAGCAAGAGAATCTGCCACCATATTACTACTATGTGGAATATAATAACAATTAAATTGATGGAACTCTAGGCATTGGATATCCTGCATATGTGGATAAAATAAAAGGAGTAAGATATCATAAAAAGGGAATAAAAAAATGAAAGTAAGAAAAAAATTAATAATTTTCAACTAAATAAGTAGTGAAAAAGTTAGAAAAGAAATACGAAATTAGTTTTAAAACCGGATCAAAACTGGGATTAGGGGGCCCAAAAAGAAGAAGCCCATATCATCTTTTATAACCAAAAATTAAAAATCAAACTATTTTGTACTTTTTTTTTTTTTGTAAATAACTATTTTGTACTTTATTTTAGATTGTGAAGGACGCGTTTTGCTTCTACTTCTTCCTTTCCTTCTCCTCGCTCCGTCTCTGAAATTTCGAGGGTTCGCGTTGTTTCTTCGATCGGTGAATAAGCAACTCGAAATCAGAACCAGTCAGCGATGTTCAGATTCTGGTAATTCTCCGTTTTGTTTCCAAAACCTCAATTAAATTTTATATGCATCTCTTTAGTCATTTTGATTTCTCGCGCTTCGAGGAATTTACTCGCTATCGCACGTTTGATCATTTTGACATCTTAAACATAATAGTAATAATAAGCAGAATATTTGATACCAAGCATGGATTTTGTTTATGCTTAGGGGATCACAAGAACAACAATCGCAGTCGCAGGAAGGTTCTTCTTCACCGTCGTGGTATCCGTCATCGGTGATGAACTCGCCAAGTTCTTCGAGGCCTGCTACTCCTTCCTCTTCGCAGAGGCCTTCTTCACATGTCCCGCCCGCAGAAGCCGCTGGAGTTATTGCTGTTTTGAAGGATAAGAGGTCAATCTTCTCATGTCCAACTCCAAAGCATAATTTCTTCTGTTTTCTATGTTTTAACTGTATCTGATTTTGTAAACGCAAAATACTTTCACGTAGTACTCTCTAATTATTTTGATATTATGAAATTATTCCGTCTTTTCAAATGTGGCGATCTTAATGATGCTTCTTATTTCTTTCTTTCTTTTTTTTTGTTTTTTGTTTTAAACTTCCCAGTGTTGATGAGTTAAGGAAGCTTATATCTGACAAGGATGCGTATCAACAGTTTTTAAATTCACTTGATCAGGTCAAGATTCAAAATAATGTAAGTTGCTTATATTTATTCTCCAATTTACGGTGGTTTATTACCTCGGTACTGTATGTTTTCCTGCCTTGTTTGCTGCATTTAGTTAGTACATTTCATCTTTTGCGCTTCTTCTCTTTGGAGTTGAAATGTTATAAGATATGAAATTATTGATTTCATTGTAGTGCTAAGTCGTAAGGGTAGCTAGTAGGGAAATGGCACTATTTAGATAACTGGCTTTAATTTCTCAGTAGCTATTTTTTTTTTTTTAATTTACTTCATTGTGCTGTTTGGGCAATGAATACTTCGGAGATTCTTTGCACTATATACTGTTCTGAGATAGTGTTTGGTTGCATGTAGTATTCTACCATGATCTTTGTGGTCTTTGAGAGCTTGAGTATGTATTGCTTCAGGACATTATGGATATTCATGAGAAGTTTTCCAAGTTGGCTGTACTCATGGTTGTTAAAATTGTGTGTCAACACGTAGAATTGTATGAACGGTTTTACATGTCAGAACTTAGAAGGGCTGGAGCGATCCTGATCCCACTAGAAAACACGTTCTAGAGTGATTGTGATCGTGTCTAAGAACATAAAAATGGGAGGGGCATGCAATTTGGCCAACCCTGCAATTAGAAAAGGAATGTTGGAGCTGCGGAATCCAGAAAAAAAACAGCCCAAACCCAGAACCCACCAGAAACTATCCCCCTCCGATCAGTTTGTGAGTTGTGACACTGCGATTGAAATGATTTTGAGAATGTTCGATCTGGAATTAGTTGTGAAAATGGAACTTGTGACTGGGTGCGTATTACTGGGTGTTTCTGCCATTGCCCTTGCTTCTGTTCTGGGTTGCTCTTGAGCTTGTTTATGCACTTGCGTCTGGGTGGTGTTATGACTGTGTGGTGCTATGACTGTGTGGCAGTGCCAATAGTTAGGTTTCATGCTGTGCCTTTTTACTTATTTATTATTAACAATGGGCTTTATGTAACAGATAAACTATGGCCTTTACTTTTCTTTATTCCTTTAATTGCTATAAATCTTGTTTAATTTACTTTTCTTTATTCCTTTAATTGCTATCAAATCTGGTTTAACTTTTTAAAAAAACTTTTTAGTTGGTCAACATATAATTAATATGTAGAAATTAGAGTAAATACCCTTTTTGGTCCTCATAAATTCAGTTGAAATCGTGGTCTCTCACAAATTCAAAAAAGACTCATATTAGTCCCTAAAAGGACTAAAATGGGTCCATTTTGAATTTCTTAGGGACCACGATGGGCCTTTTTATTTGCTAGGGACTAAAGCGGGCATCGTGAAATTTGCTGAGGACCAAAAAAGGTATTTACTCTATAAATTATTTGCTAAAGTTTGAATAAATTAAATCAAATCTTACATTTCATGTTATGATTGCACGTTTTACAAGTTTGACATCCATGACTGTACTTGTTTAGCTGCTTTGCATTAGAGATAGAGTTATTGAATGATACTAGGATCACAAGGTTGTTACTAGACTTACCAATTGTCTGTAGAGTTTATAGACAGAAAGCATCCGAATCTGTTGTGTTCATGAGTACTGTATGTAGAGTGCATCAAAGCCTGTATTTACTGGTACTTAGCTACAGCTTATGCCATTTTAAAATGTTATTATGAATCAAATATTTCAACATTTTGTTTAGTTATCCCTTTTCCTTGGAAACCACCCGTAATAACTACAGCTAGAAATAAGAACAGTCATGGATTTCTTGTGATTTGGGATGAAAGGAGAACGAAGAGTTTTGTCCTTTATCAGGCCAACAACATTCCTGGGATTTCAGGGCCTAATATTATAATTTGCATAGTTGCCACACTGGAAGTGTCAATGGGAGCTTTCTACACTGATAGTCTGACACTCCAATACATGTGTGCAGACAAATGGAATGACGTTTAATACTTTAATTACACAACTCATACATTTACAACTCACAACTATTCAACTGTGCACAATTGCACAAGTGGTTCCATCTGTCTGCTTTTTCTGTTATTGTTTGCTTTTGTTGCTGATGCTGTAATTCGTATCTTCTTGTATTTTAACTAATTTTCCCACCTACTGATTTGATCAGCTGAAAGGTGAACTTTGCAAGGAGAATTTGCAGCTTGCGGGTGAGTTATTGAATTTCTTTTATTTTCTATGCTGCCATTAGATAGTTGGCCTGCAGTCAAGTGTTATAGAACTTCTCTAACATTTATGTTCAATACAGAGGAAAATCTACAAAAGGAACCTCGTATCATGGAACTTAGGAATCAAGTAAGATCACAATCCTATAATTAGTATGATTATTTTATTTTATTTTTGTGAAATTCTTATGCTGATTATGGAATTTTTCCCTTTCCTCCTACGGAAACAGTGTAGAATAATTCGGACAACAGAGTTAGCTGCTGCTAAGGAGAAACTAAATGAGCTTGAGAAGCAGAAAGAAGAAATCTTGAAGTTAAATTCTCCAGCATCCCTTCTCCAAAGGATTCAAGGTATGACTTGAGATTAGAATTTACTGCAATAGCTATGGTGATCCCAAATTTATCACTATTGAGACCAAGGCTAGGCCATAAATGTGATATACTTGTTATAATTTTGCAGAGTCTATGAATAATACAGAAGAGGAATCTGAAAATCTGCACCAGCATCTCCTTGACAGAGAGGTTGACCTTGGAGCTTTTTTGCCGAAATACAAGAAGCAACGTACCACTTATCACAGGAAAACTCTCATACATCTTGCCGCTAAAACATCAACTATATGAGCACCACCTAAGGAAAATGAAAATTAAGACAGTAACTCCTTGTTTTGTCGAGAGTGTATTTGATTTTTGGTTCATTATTTTCAATATAGTTTGCATTGGTCCAAGATATTTCCCCACCAATTATGTAAGTTGTAGTCGCTGTGATAAAACTTTCTCTGATAAATGAGAAACGTTCGTATGTATAGCTTGAAATTTGTGATCGTTCCCTGTGGTGATTTGTATTAATATATACGTCTGTTTTCATTGTTATGGGAGTAGTTTCATGCCATCTTAAGAAGACGTACAGACTTACATTCACATTGTTCTTTTGGTTTGTGCTTTACCACTTTAAACAATATTTGTCTGAAGGTCATGCTGTAGCTTATGGTACTTTCAAAAATAGCTGGAATGGTGAATCACACAAAAAAACGTCAACCCTATTATAGGAATTTCTTTTGTCTTGTAACGTGTATATAAATGCTTTGACTTTCCTTTTCTTCGGAAGCAATTTTAATTTTTCAGAACTTCGCGTTTGACGTTACCAGTTAAAAATATTTTTGCTGGCTTTTGCATTTGTCTAATAGTAGATACAGAAGTGGAACAACTTTATGAGAAGCAAAATAGAGTTAAACAGGTTCAATGTGATTGAGAAATTTATTAATTTATTTTGTAGAGTACTATTTGAGAAGACATGGTCATCATTAATTTGTAAGAAGGAACATGGGAATTTTTTCGTCAAATTTTTAGTTGACAGACACTTTCTTGCAAAAGTTAATAAATGGGAAACTATAATAATCATGGATATTGAAGCCTAGAAGAACGCATTCCCATTAATCAGTAATGGCCTCCTTGTCCTTTAGAATCTTTAGATTCAGAATCAGTGGTGTTAGTTTCGGGCTTATCACACATAGGAGTGGTATAATAGAAGGGGTTGAGCACGTATTTGATCAAACTGCGATACACCGATGTCGGGTTGTTGAGCTTGACGCCAGACTTGCCACCACCAAAGTCAGTGAGGATGTTGCAAGCATAATCTGGGGAAGACACCAACCTCACTGAGCATTGCTTTGTATCCAATTCCTTGCCGTGGACATACTTGTTCACTGTCATGTCGTACTGTCCCAACTCATCTGTTGTATCACTTGTATAGCACACAACCCTGCTTCTCTTGTCCATGCACGTTAGGGACACCTTAACTCCTGCTAGTGCTAGCACAATTAGTAACCAACCAAGGTATATATGAATATACGACGACTTAGGAAGAGATTAGATTGACAATTGTACAATACCTTTGATTGGTTTACCGCCATTAACCCATTCGTTCCAGCCCTGGGTGCAGTCCTGGCACAGCACTTTTCCACCCACGTGAATGGCTCCTGGTTCATCTCCAGCCAAGACTACTATGTTATTGGTGCAGCCCACTAGCATTGAGGCTGCAATGATCATCAACGCCACTGCAAATCCCATGTCTATCTCTCTCTTTCTCTCTCACACACACAATTCACGAGGATATATATATGGCTCTATATGTATATATAACAACTTGGCGTTCATTTGTGTGTTTGAATTGGGCACAAACGTGGAAGAGCACTACTATCGGCTCTTGGACGTGCAATCCATTATTCAATTTTTTATAATATAATTCATTAATCATATCAATCTATTATCAGATTAATTAGGAGTTTGCAACTCGCTGACCATCGGTCCATCACATTAAAAGGTTAATTAAAGTAATTCAGGGAAAAAGAATATTATTTTGTATATTATATCGTTAGTTCGCACTTTGTTTTTTCTATACAAAAGTGGTCTTAAGGCCCATAAATAAAACCAAACTACGTAACAGAGATTACTCAGTGTAGACACATCCCACAAAAATCATCAGAAACAGGCCTAGCTAGATCCGAGGGCCATACTCTTTCTCCAGCCTCTAATTCGCTAGGCAATCCGCACATTTGTTCCCTTCCCTCATAGTGTGCCTGAATTTCTGATACCCATTTCTCTGTTGCCACTGGGTAACTAGTTCCCACTTTGATTCAAGAGTGGAGAAATGTGTTCCGTCTTGTCAATATTAAAGAAAAGGTCTAGTGTTTAACACAAATTACCAATTTGTTATGATAAATTTATCAATATATTTTACATAGATTACTTTGATGAGAATTTGATAATAATGACATGGCGTTTACTTTATTAAACCACGACGAGATGTTTTATTAAGCTTGGATTATAGTGATTGCCAACACTTTATACACAATTTATGTTAGTCCAAAACCCAACTTGTAAAGTTATAATATAAGCTTTTTACCCAAAATTAAAGTTATAATAGAAGTTATCAACCTAAAATTAGCACACTCTCTAGAGAACAATAAATAGATATAGATTTGAAGAAATACTCTTTATCCATTATGATTACTTCTGGTAAATCAGGACCTCAGATTGCTTGAAATTAAAATCCCTCGAAAAGACTACCTTTAAGTTTCCAAGTCTTCTTCTTATTGTTGACATTAACCTAACCAATAAAAACGTATATGACAACTATTGTTAGTGGTGAGCCATGTTGGGGTGGGGGGCCTGGTCCAGGCTAAATTTCAAAAATTATCCACTCTGTGGTTAATTTGCAGGTTTATTTTCAAAATATTAGCCACGTTTAGCGTGGCTAAATAACTGTGGCCGGGACTAAATTTTTTTAGCCCAAGCAAATTTGCTAAGCTGGCTTCGCCATTGACTATTGTAATGTGTATGTCACTACTAGAAAAGTTTAAATTATCGACCGAATTTATCAACCGAAAAAATTCCGTTGTAATTAATGATGAATTTTACTCGAAAATAAATTCCATAAAAATAGAGATCAATCTTTCATGAAAAATATATATATATAGGGAGGGTTATATTTAAAGAAATTTTATTTATAAACTGTCATAAATTACAACTATGTATTTCCGGGAGTAATTTGTAAAAATTTATAAATAAAAAATTTGTAAACAGATTATTTCCCTATATATATATATATATATATATATATATATATATATATATATAGTGTATCATTTTAAAGTAAGTAAAGTTGTGTCATTTTAAGTGAGAGAAAGAGATAGATTATGGGGGGAGAGAATGGACAAAAAAAATAAAGATATGGGTCACATCTTTTTGTGAGAGTGAAATGACACAAGATATGTCATTTAAAAGGGGTTTACATTTGTCATTCAACATGACACAACAAACTTTCTTACACACACAACATTTTATGGCGCCGACACTTTTTGAAGAAAAAAGAAAAAGAAAAATTATGGCACGCAAAACGAATCTCTCTAACATTACACAATCATTTTTCTTACAACATAACTCTTATAAAACCCATATATATATATATATATATATATATATATATATATATATACATATACATATATAAATATATATAGGGATAGGATCATTTAACACCAGTGTCGAATTTAAAGTTTTACACCTCATTTGAGAGTCATTAGATAAACAAAGATCAATGGTGTCACATGCTTACAAATTAGAGTCGTTGATTTTTTTGATCTAATGGCTCTCATATGTGTGTCAAAGGATCCCACATATATATATATATATATATGTTTATCGTTTCTCAAGCTACTTGAGATAATCTTATCTCCGGCTAGTATATCATAACCGTACAAAAATGGATCAATGGTGATAAAGAAAGAGAGAGAAAAAGAGAATCATAACCATTCAAAGGTGAATCAATTAATATAAGGAAATAAATAAATAAAACGACGTAGTTCGTTTCTCAAGCTGCTTGAGATAAATTTATCTCCTGCTACTAAATCATAACCGTACGAAAATGGATCAATGGTGATAAAGGAAGAAAGAGAAAAAAGAGAATCATAACCATTAAAATGTAAATCAATTAATATAAATAAATAAATAAACAAAACAACGTAATTTTGAGGTGGACAGAGATATATCTCAAGCTGCTTGAAAAATATTTTTTTTTTTCTCTCTCTCTATATATCAAAAAAATATTTTTGCAGTTAATGCAGATAAGTTATCTGCATTTACTTCCAAAATGACGTCGTTTTGGGATTGAAAGATTAAAAAATTATAATTATAAAGACTATAATAACACTGAAATAAATTGAAATTACAAAAACACCATTATTTTCGCCCCGAAACGACGTCGTATTGGGCTTACTGCATATAACTTATCTGCAATAACTGTAGAAAAGCGAACCCTATATATATAAATGTATATGAGTTCATTTTTTTGCAGTTAATGCATATAAGTTATCTGCATTGAGCCCAAAACGACGTCATTTTGTGACCGAAATCAAGGTATTTTTGTAATTTTAATTTATTTCAGGGTTATAATAGTCTTTATAATTATAATTTTTTAATATTTCAACACCAAAACGATGTCATTTTGAGAGTAAATGCAGATAACTTATCTGCAGTAATATATATGTATATATATATATATATATATATATAGGATTTTATTAGTCTCCTTTCATATAAGATAGTTATTTTATGTTGTAGAGATAAAATGGATCGGTTCCTCATTGCATAAAAAAAGAAAAAGAAAAGAAAAAGGTGAGCTGCTAAAATCGAAGTGAGATAACATGAGAGAAGTTATCTTAGCTGAAAAGAGAGTAATATTTTTCACAGACACATATATATGGGAAAAATATTTCTGCAATTAATGCAGATAAGTTATCTACATTTATTCCCAAAACGATGTCGTTTTGGTATTGGAATCTTAAAAAATTATAAATATAAAGACTATTATAACCCTGAAATAAATTAAAACTACAAAAATACCATGATTTCTGTCCCTAAACGACGTCGTATTGGCTTACTGCAGATAACTTATCTACAGAAAAAGCGAACCCTATCTATCTATATATATATATATATATATATATATATATATATGTAATTTAATGTTTCTACATGTAGATAATACTCGAACAATTGTTAATACTGCAGCAACCCATTGCTCGTGGAGTTGAAAAAGTTTCTCATGTAAATAGAGCTTTCTGATTCATCTGTTATGATGGACTTGTGGATAAATTATTTCAAATTTTCTTTTGTGACTGAGTGGTTTTGTTTTAAAATTTTTGTTTCAATTTCCAAAAAAAAAAAAAAAAATTTGTTTCAACTAATTGAGACTTGAGAGACTGCTGATTATCAAAGGGAAGTAACGAGCAATTGTTACGAAGGACAAGATTTGTTTTTTTATCTTGTTATTATATATCTGATTGATTACATTAAGTGCCATGGGGGGTAGGGGCGGTAGTGTTAAGAAATAAAAAATTTAATTGATGCCGTGGGGGACAGGGAGCGACATTGATTTCGGAAAAAAAAAAAACAAATCACACGAGTGCCGCGGGGGAAGGGGGCGTCATTTAGAGTCGCTGAGTCTCCCTGCAACACTCAAAGACCCCAAAGGATAATATCTCCCAATCAGATGCCAAATTGGTATATTTAAACGGGAAAAACTCCCAACCGGTCAAAGAGTCTACATATGTGTGCAAAACATGTTTATCGCTTTCATAACTTAGTTGACTCGCGAGTCAACGAAGAAGATGACTCGCGAGTCAATGAAGCCATGCTCGCCGGTTCTACAAATATACTACTATCTATTTATCGTTAAAATTCCAGTGCTCCATTTACTTTTTGTTTTGAGAATTTTCAAATTCGGGAAATGTGCGTAATGTGTTTGTATATAAAGAGCACAACTAATTTCCACACACAAAAAAAGGCACAACTAATTAAGTAGCTTTCAGAAGTAATAAAACGAAAGTATGGGGTCTATGTGAAAAAAAATGAAAAACAAATACTAAATAGAAACACCAGACGCATTAGGCAACTGTACTGCTGCAGTAACATATCTTTGGTACTAACTGTATACTGAAAATTAGGTGTGTTTGTGATTTGAATTGGAATTGGATCTAGTTAGAAGCAAAAATTATTTGATTCAATTCTTTTATTTTGATCATTTAATTATTAATTTGGTTTGAATTTTTTAAAAATTTGATCTAATCTAATTCAATTTTATTAGGTTTGAATTAGATCGATTTTTCCAAAAGCCTAAAATTTTAGTCATACAAATCACTAATTATATCTTATTAGAACCGGTTTTATAACTGGGCCGATCATGTAATTTTCCTCTACATAATTGGAGCAGCTTTAACACATGGGTCTTTAATGGAACAAGATGAGAGGTGTACCTGCAAGACACTCTGACGGTCAAGTCAGATATGGTTCAAGTAGGTTTTATTATGTAGAAGAAGATATATACCTTTGTGTTAATATGTATGTATTTATAGTAGAAAGATAGGATTTTACTTAGTGATAATGTTTGCTTTGTCTTGGAGACAAAGTAATATGGCTGTCATGTTTAATGTTGAGGAGCTTGTTGAGATGAGTTTTAATATTGTGGAGCTTCATGCGATGAGGTTGCAGTCTTCATTGACTGTCATCTTTCTTATAGTGAAGACTTTTATTTTGGGCCTTATATTATTATAATAACAATTCAGATCAATATCAAAATAAAGTTATTTAAAATTACGAACTACTGAAAATTTAAGTCTTCAAATTAAAACAAATCTTAAAACTCATGAAAAGTTATAATAAATTAATAGGCAATAAAAACTATAAGAGAATAGTTTGTTATTAATAACATCCAAGATTTTAAGTCTACAAAACAAAAAGATTTCAAGTCATCATCTTTCAAAAATAATAAATGGGTTTGATGTTTGTCCTTTTAGGGTGTGTTTGGTACAAGAGAAATTTTTTGGTGACCGGGAATCATGATTAATGGGAATTCAGTAGAAATTGAGTTTACTTGAAATCTTACGAAAGAGGTGTTTGGTTCGCCAAAATATTACCGAAAATATTGGGTAAAAATGACTGATTCCATATTTGGTTTAGAACGAAATATGACTTGGAATATGAGGTTATTTTACAAAAATAACCCCAAACTATTTTTACTTTTGTAATTGATAGATTGAGTCTAGATTTTTATGTGTATTGGAGTATTTTTGTCTCAAAATTTATTGTTGTGCTTTCTCTTTTGCTTGGTATTCTGATTGATATTCCGAATTAACATATTATTTTTGGTAATCTGAATAGTGACTTTTCTTTATAAATCAAATTACCGGTAATCCTTGGATATCCGGGAATCGTAATTTATTCCTTCTACCAAACGTGGTAATTACATTTACCAAAAAAGAATTACCGGTAATCCTCTTCAAAAACTTAAAACAAACACCCCCTTAAAGGATATAAATTATGTCATTTTAGGAGAGATAGACACAAGAAATGAAAATCATGGGAGAGAAAGTGAGTGGTTTTTTTAATTTAAATTTTAAATAAAAAATTTATTTTGTGTCTATCTTTCTCTTAAAATGACATAATTTTATATCATTTAAAATGACAAACACTTTTTCCATAATAAATACATAATAATTGGATTGATTTTCACCAATCAAACTGAAAACAGATCCAACCTAATTAAAATATGCTAGTTTTTTAAGTTTTTGATTTTGTCGATTCGATCACCACAGTTTGAATTGGTTGATGAACATTTCTTCTGAATAATGATCAGAGTCAGTCAGAATCACTTGAAGATCAGTGAGAGCCTTGGTCTTGGCACCGACTGTTTTTTAAAAATAATATAATTTTTTTAAATATTATGGTATAATCTTGATACTGGATAAATTTTTTAAAATGGTAGAAATTTGATACTCGTTGGATTTTCAAAAATGATAGAACTTTCACATGTTAAAATTATATCTCCACTCTGCCACTAAGGGTGCGTTTGTATTGGCTTTTTAAGAAAGCTCTTTTTATCACTTTCTTATTTTAAAAGTACTTTCTATAAAAGTTTCAGCTATTTAGATTTTTTAAAAAATATTTTATTTTTGAAAAAAATGTTTGGCTTTTGACTTCTGCTTTTTTTAGAAGTTAAAATTTTTAGCTTCTGAGTAAAGTAGGTTTTTGGCTTTTTTTATGACTTCTGCTTTTTTTAAAAGCTGGCATCCAAACAGATTTTTTTTCGAGAAATGCTTTTTTCTTAAAAAAAGCAGCTTTTGAAGAAAAAAAAGCCCATCCAAACAGGCTCTAAATACCATTTGCAATCAAAATAAAATTATAGACTATTCCAAAAAGGATCTACTAATCTCATGTTACATGAGATAGTACTCTCATGTGGGTGATATAAATATATGGGGTGCATAATTTAAAAAAAAGAAAATAAAAAAGAAAAAAGTTGGCACAAAATTCTATGAAGATATGACATGAGATATGTATCTTATGTAGCATAAGACTATCATTTCCCTTCCAAAAAATACATGGGCATACTTTTTTTTTTCTCACTCTCTATGTAGTACATTAAAAATTTGGCAGCATAAGACAGTGGCATAGTGTGGAGATAATTTATTGTGGTGCAGGACTATCATTTTTTAAGTGGTTATTTAGTGTAAATGGAAGGGCAAAATTAAAAAAGAAGAAAAATAGCAAGGGTAAAATGGAAAAAAAAAATAGTATTGTGAGAGAACACCAAATCATTAGGTTGTCCTGTAGCATACTAAATATTTCTCACAATGCGGGACAATGGGAGACCTTTCTCGGGTACTATTCTGGTTTAAAGTTTCTTTTAAGTAAGGGGATTTTTTCTTACGAGAGGCGAGAAGTTTTATCTCCTAACACAAATGAAGTGAGATCATTGTTTTTTTTTTCTCTCTATATGTAGTACATTAAAATGGAATGACATATTACTCTTAAAAAAAATAAAGGGTTTGTTTTTTCTAATGTTACTTTAGATAACTTTATCTAATGTTCATCAAAACGACGTCGTTTTGGGACGGAAATCATGGTATTTTTGTAATTTTCAACTCCAAAACGACGTCGTTTCGATGAACATTAGATAAAGTTATCTAAAGTAACATCGGAAACTTTTTTCCCAAAAATAAAATAACACATTACTCGATGAGAATACAATATGACAAACTAATCTCCTTTTTAACATGGGAATATGATTTTTTTTTTTTTTTTTGTTAAATAACCACTTCAACCCAAGATTTTAAGGTGGTAGGTGATGGTCTTTTTAAAGATTTATATTAATCTCTAACACACCTCCCTCACGCAAGAGCCATTTGGGCTTGAAGCGTGGATATTGCACAGGTCCAATTTTTGGTTTACCTTGGGGGCGTGAGGATCGAACTCGTGATCACTGAAGCTCCGATACCATGTTAAAGAACCACTTCAACCCAAGACCTTATGGTGTTAGGTGAGGGCCTTTTTAATGATTTATATTAATCTCTAACATTTTTCTTTAAATAATCCCATAAATTTTGAAAGAGAAACTGTAAACTTTAATTTATGAAACGAATTTAATAATTAATATATATCTATTACTATCTAAGTTTTTTTTATTCAATCCAATAATTTTAAATTCAATTATCTTAAGGTGTGTTTGGTATAGGATATCTCAAAATTTTGCTAGGCATCTGAAATTGGATAAGTTGGTTGTATACGTTTGGTACAGGTGATCCAAAAATTTGCCTACCTAACCGATTTACCTAGCAATTGAGCTTTGTATGTAAAATTGGACAAAAAATACACTCTGAAATCCTACTGCGTTGATGATATTCGACGGATAACTAGGTAAGTAAAAATGGGTAAAAATGGAGCTTCCAAAGTGAGAAGAGAGAAGAGCAAATCCACTTTTGGACATCCACGGAGGTGTTCATTTTTTCGGTTCTGGATTTCTCTTTTAGATCTGCACCAAGGCCGACCAGATTGGGTTTCATAGCAACTTCAGTCTGATTTTTGCATGCTTATCTACTCAAAGATCTACTCAATCCGATTATGAGTTTTCACAGGAACTTTGGATATTATCGTTGGGACAATTGATATCCAACGACTGAATATCCCTAATTTGATGACTTTAGGAAACAGTAGAACTAAATTAAAATATTGTAAAGGATTATTTTATAATTTCAACTTGATTTCCCATCAATATTTTATGTTCAACCAAACATAGATTCAGAGAATTTCACTCAATTTAATTTACTCGGTAATATTCTGCCCAACCAAACATCTTTTTTTTTTTTTTTAACTTTTCTACTTAACTCATTATCCCTACAGATTCCTAGATCCCTGTTAATTACATTTCTTCGTTAAAATAAAGGAAAATACTACTCTCATTTTACATAAGATGTTATCTCATTTTGTTCGAAAATCGCACCTCTTTTTTTCTTCTTTTCTTTTTTGACTTTTAATGGTGACCCCACTTCAATTCTCTCTGTAGCATAAGAAAACTAGCATGAGAATAATATTTCCCTAAAATAAATTCAACTGCACCAAACACCTTGTTAGTGTAATATTTTTCTACCCATGTGAAGAGTTAAAAAGGTCTCTTTCTATTAGTACCCATGCTGAACTCTCTCTTTCTATATTGTTGTTTCTCTCTCTAGGACTCAATGCAGAAAAGACAACAGCAACTGCGTCCTCGTCGTTGCGATTGAAGAAAACCCAGAAAGCAGAGGAAAATGCGGGTTTGTGTTACCGTACTGTTGGTCTTAGCCACCGTGGTGGCGCCGGCCACGGTTGTGTGTAGCGGTTTGCCGGTGAGTTATCTTCCTCTGGAACGGGCTATTCCTCTGAACCAGCGAGTGGAACTGGGGGCACTGAGAGCTCGTGACAGAGCCCGCCATGGTCGAATCTTGCAAAGTGGGGTTGTCGACTTCTCAGTCCAAGGAACCTCCGATCCTTACTTCGTTGGGTACGTGTAATTAATTCTTAACTGTCTCTTCAATTTTCTCATTACAGTAAAGGGATATGCATTTATTGCTTTGTTTCAAACTGCATGGAATCTGTAGATTTATTGATTCTTTCTTAATCTTCCATTTCTGGCAATGGCAAGCATTAAGAAGAAGAAGATGGATATATAGACGATTTGATATCATAATATAGTTTCTGTGTCATCATATTATAATGTTAACGACTAAGAAGTGCCATATGCTCTTCAAACTTGGGTTAATCTTGGTTTTCTTGTTCAGTTTGTATTTCACGAAAGTGAAAATGGGGTCTCCTGCAAAAGAATTTTACGTACAGATTGATACCGGAAGTGACATCTTGTGGCTTAATTGCAATTCTTGCAGTAATTGCCCGCTATCTAGTGGGTTGGGGGTGAGAATTTGATGCTTTTTTTTATAACATTTATACTTGTGGATAACTTGGTGGAAATAAAGAGACGTTTCAGAGTGTAATGTTTTGCTCTTCTTGTTGGTTATGTTATGAACTCTACAGATTGAGCTCAATTTCTTTGACACAGCCAGCTCTTCCACTGCTGCACTGGTTTCCTGCTCAGACCCAATATGCTCTTATGCCGTTCATACTAGTTCGAGTCAATGCTCTTCTCAGGTTAATCAGTGCAGCTACAACTTTCATTATGGGGATGGAAGTGGGACTTCTGGTTTTTATGTTTCAGATGCAATGTATTTTGACGTGATCCTGGGGCAGTCTATGTTTTCTAACTCCTCATCTACCATCATTTTTGGGTGAGTCATTATGCTTTTATGGATAGTTGTGTGCACTCAATGTGGGGTTGGGAAGATATAAAGAGTGGAGCTGGATGTGGGGTCAGAGGAGCCTAGCTTTTTTTGGTGAAGATTACATTCTGAGTTTCATTAGTAGCAAATTTTGTGATATCATAATATTGTGGATCAAACTAACAGTAACTGCATGGATATTATAGAAAATCTTGTCAATAGGTGGATTTTTGAAGAAAAAAAAAAATGGGGGAGGGGGAGAAAAGGTAAATAAATGGGGTTTGTTTATGTTGAGGTTTTCACTATTTCACCTATTGCTTCTGTTGTGGTAGTTGGCTAATTAACTCCCATGTCTATGCTAATATGGATATTGGTTTTAATTGAACTTTTTTGGATGGTTGTTTTGGGAATAGGTGTAGCACTTATCAGTCTGGGGATTTGACTAAGACAGATAAAGCAGTTGATGGAATTTTTGGGTTTGGCCCTGGTGCTCTATCTGTTATATCACAATTGTCATCACAAGGCATAGCACCCAAAGTGTTCTCTCATTGCTTAAAAGGAGAGGGCAACGGAGGAGGCATACTAGTTCTTGGTGAAATTATGGAGCCAAGTATTGTTTATAGTCCACTTGTCCCATCACAGTATGTTCTCTATTCTGCACTTCCTTCCTTGTTTTCTTTCCTCAGTTGGGGGACAATTTTTTCCCCTAATATTCCATCACCCTGATATGAAGGAAAAATATAAATTCTATTGAAACTAGGTATTTGCATTACTGTCAAGGATTAATTACTTGTATGGTAATTATGAGATGATCCCTCTATAATTTAGTATAATTATATACTAGTTTAGATGTCAGGAAACACAAAATCAGCACTGCTAGTTGACATCTTAAAACTTAAAACTTGACTAATTAACCATCATTTTGTACCCTTAGGTTACATAAAGTTTCTGATTATGTTTGTTGCAATGTTCGATGTTTGGAATGTTGTAAAATTTTGATATTTTGACCTCGATTGAAATTTTCTGAAGGGTGATTCTGCTTCATTCTATTTAGCCAAATAAGTTGATTTTGGGCAGTATTCTTGTTATAAAAGTAATGGGTCTTGATGTTCGTATATTTGGGTTCATGCCTCTTGCGGAGAAGAAAAGTTTCTTGGTTTCTCAATATATTGTGACGAAGGGTTCTGTCCAGCCTGTCCCGACATGGACCTTGGTCTCTTTTTATTTTTTCTCTGGGACACAGTTACATGCCACACCCTTGGTATGTGAGTGTGGATGTTTCATTTTTTATTTCATTTTATTTTATTGGAGAAGGGGGGGTTGGATTTAAAACCCTGCATTTAACAATGTATTTTTTACAAAAACAATGTTTTTGTTTGTTGGAATAAATATCTTAAGATGACTATAAATGATAATATACAACACATATTTTTTTATTTAATGATAAAGTTTTTTAATTAAATATAAAAGGTGATACTGCTCACTTGCTCAGAGAATTGGGTTCTTAAAATGCTTGTCATGCCATTGTTCCTGTTGTCAAATAACTTGCAGTTCAATATCATTATATTGTTGTGTTCTATATCAGATATAATATGGCTGTGTTTTTTACTAGTTTCTTTATCAAATTTCAGGCCTCATTACAACTTAAATCTTCAGAGCATTGCTGTCAATGGACAACTTCTCTCAATTGATACAGATGTATTTGCAACATCTAATAACCGAGGAACTATGGTTGACTCTGGTACAACATTGGCATACCTTGTTCAAGAAGCTTATGATCCTTTTGTCAATGCTGTAAGTTTTCTTTTACCTCTCTTGAAATTTTGAAACACTGTGGCTGCGTTCCATGATTTCATTGTCATTCTCCAAATATATTTTTTTGAGCGCATAAAGTCTTATATGCTCCTCCACATTCTTACTTAATATAATAAGCAGTAAAGCCTCAGAGTAACGGGAAAGGCTTTTCTGTCTCAACCAGAAGGTCAGGCTGTTAATTTGAGGTTGTCCTCAATTTTAAATATGTTCTAGATAACTAAATGCCCAATGCCTAATGATGGTTTAAGATCTATATGATAAGTCTTCTGTAAGGGGCTATTTATACGCCCATTAATCTATTTACTTAACTTCTTCCTATGGAAAAAATTCACATTGGCTAAAGTATCCATGTTAACCAATTGGTTACTTCATAAATTTGAGAGTTTTTTCACACCCACAGAACTCTTTCTTTGGTTTGCAACAACAGGGGAATCCCTTCAACTTTTTCACACACTCAACTAATAGAGTAAATATGAACGTGGCAACAATAACCATCTATCTAGACAGCGGAAACGAGGATCAATTAATAATCAAAGAGGCCCTGACTATATACTATGATGAAGTTACAAGAAGGCTTGTATTTAAAGTTTTCGTCATTGAAGGAAGAGGGGTTCTATGTACATAAGTGAACTTTATCACAGATTTGAATCTAGGAAAAGTTTACAAGAAAGATAGCGGATACCTTTCTAGTCTTTCTGTTACCAGGATCCAGTATCCAGTATCCTCCCAAGAGTCAAAATGATAACACCAAATCTTGATTCTGGATACATGGGTATATGTGATTAATTGCAAATACTACTGTTGCTATATATTCGTCTTGTCAAATAGAATTTGAAGTGCAATGTCAACCAATATCTTGATGTTACAGTATGGCATTGAAGAATGAAAATTTGTGTTTGAAGAGAGGCAAACAAATTCTTCCTCTGGCTTATTTTTCTTGTATTTTAAAATTGACTTTGCCTATATTTTATGAAATGATATACCTGGTACTAATGTTGAATATCTAAATGAATATGCAGATAACTATCGCTGCGTCACAGTTTTCCAAACCCATTATTTCAAAAGGAAACCAGTGTTATCTGGTCTCAACCAGGTTATTTCAATTCAAACTCAGTTTTACAATAAAGATTAAATTCTCTTTCATCATAAAAGAAGAGAGTTTGTCCTATTAAGATTTGTGAGATCTCATTTGAATTTATGCTGTTTCAGCTTGGGTGATATATTTCCTCCAGTCAGTTTAAACTTTATGGGTGGTGCATCCATGGTTTTAAAACCAGAACAGTACCTTATGCATTATGGTTTCCTTGTAAGTATGTCCTTTTCTCTGTTCGGTCACATTGTTGCTTCTTTTCTCCTGCCTAAGTAGGAGTAATTTTTTTGAATTGCATGCCACTGATAATAGTCTGATGTGCTACTTTGCTTTTACAGGATGCTGCTGCAATGTGGTGCATCGGTTTCCAGAAAGGGCAGGATGGATTCACAATTTTAGGAGGTTAGACCCTGGAAAAATTATTTAAAAAGAATAAAATCTGTTAGGAATTCGAAGAAACGCACTTACTCTCATTTGATTATGAAATGAGCTCTTCAGTGAATAGCACAAAAATCTTGAATAATGAACATGTCTTCTGTGTGTGATTGAAAGTCATTTCATTAAGAATTTCTTCCTGTTGGTAGAACTGTACATGGGATTGGGAAGGACTGAAAACACCTTGTAAGGTGTGACAAAGAACCTTCTTCAAAATAATAGTTTATTTTCGGTGAACATTCTAATGGGATTTAAAATATGATTAGAAAAAGGTTAGATTCTGTCATTGTCATGTCATTATTTAAAATGATTTCTATTAGAGATTTAATTTTGCATTTTCTTGTTTATTTTGTGTCAATTATGCATCAAATTAACCAGGTCAGCAAGTGAAATAGTCCCATATTTTTAATTTTGAGTTTATCAACTAAATTGTTTTGTTCATTTGCAGATCTTGTCCTAAAAGATAAGATTATTGTATACGATTTAGCTAATCAACGAGTTGGATGGGCCAACTATGATTGTAAGTTCACCAAAGGAACTATTTCTTTCCTGCATATGTGCTCCTTCACTATTGTCATAATTTGAATATGGTGCTCAGGTTCCTTGTCTGTTAATGTCTCTGTGGCTACAAGCAAGAGCAAAGATGCATACATCAATGCAGGACATACGAGCTCCAGCTGCTCTCAGATGGGTATTCTCTCCAAGTTGCTACCTGTAAGCATTGTGGCTCTCCTTATGCACATAATATTTTTGTAATTCACATCCAAGAGTCAAAGCTCATTCTTTGAAACTTGCTGGGGTTGGCCAATATTTTATTTGTTGTTGGCCATACCCTTTTGTTATTTTCAAAGGGTAGTGGTTGCTCTTTCCTATTTAATCTCATTGGTGTCTTTCTATTAGTATGATGAAAATGCGGATGTAATTGTAAAGGGACTCTGTTGTTGAGAACTTGTAGATTTGTATATTGGTATATCTCTCTGTAAAAGATGGAAATTGTACTATTTATAAAGTGCTCTGACCGCATAAAATAGTTAACTTGGGATTTTCTGCTGAGTGTATAGGAATGTCATAAGGACATTGTATTCTGTTCATGGAATTGGAGAATGGATCCTTTGGTTACATTCAAGATAACATGAAAATTTAGTGCTTATCTTTTTTTTTTTTTTTGGTGAGCATGCTTATCTTTATCGTCATAGATATTGACAAATTTTGATAATGTCCTACCTATTTGTTTAAGGGATTTGATTTTCTCATGTTGCATGAGAATTCAATTCTTATGTTGTGACTCAACTAGTGGTGGGTCCCACATTTATTAAAAAAAGAAAAAGAAAAGAAAAGCTTTGCACGCAAATCGAAGGGTCACAACATGAGAAAATGTTTTCCCTTTATTTAATGATTATGAAGAAAAAAATAGATATAAATATACGAGAAAATTATATTTATAATTTCTTTTTGCTTATAATCTCTTATGATCAAATTTTAATCATCGATTTTTGTTAATATGATAGTTATAATTTATTGGGTTATATTTTTTAAATAATTATTAATTTTTAATAAATTATTACCGTTAGATTAACGAAAATTAAAAGTTAAAATTTAGTTATAAGAAGTTAAAAGTTAGCAGAGATTGTAAATATAACTGTCTATAAAATTACATTGTCACCAATGTAACGGTTTGCACAGCAACAGAATTGGTAAACGTATGTAAAGAAAGCCGAAACATCATTATACAGCCACACTGGTGAATTTGGAGAAGTCCAAGAATTTGACTTTTTTATTGCCCATGCATACTATATAATAAAAAGAAGGAAAAAGTTTACCAATATTCTCGTGGTTTACTTTAGAATTGTTTATATTTCTATGGTTTTTTTTATTTCACGTGCTCCTGTAGTATGGAAAAAGAAAAAATCTGTTGAATATATGCTCTTTTGGTCACTAAAGTCCTATTGGGCTTCAGTGAAACTTGAGCCCATGAGGCTTAGGGTTGAGTTATGTCTAAGACTTAAGCGTATATGTTCATAGTTTTCTCCTCTTGTGCCTCCAAGTGAACAGATCATCAGAAACAAACCAAAGAGGCAGACGTTCATCATCTGAACGAGTGCCCACACACTTCCCCTTCCTCCTCGAGAGATAGTTTGGAAGATCTGCCACAGTCCAGCTTCAAGGAGGTTGTTCGTGCTGCGGCGCTGAGGTGAGCTGTTCGTGAAGAGGAATCCTACAAGGGAAGATTCTACACGAGACCTGCGCACCGAGAGGTAATTGTGAAACAAGGATGATTCGGTAAGCATACCAATGTACTAGGTCCTAAACCGCTTTCGCATAAATCTAAGATTTCCTACAATTGGTATCAGAGCCTTGGCTGTACATTGGTATGTGAATCTAGTTTCACTATTCATGTAATTAGTTTTGCTTCTTGAAATGTGGCACCTAGGGTTATAGGATTATGGTATGAATCTAGCATGTGCATTTTATAATTCATTTTCATAAAAGTTTAAATTTTAATCGATAAAAATGCTTTAATCCATGGTTAGGGTCTCTCGTGTATTTCTCGATTTGTAACAAGGAGGCTAATCCCATATGATTAGGTTTCCTCCTTGCTGTTTTTATTTATTTTCGGAATTTCTGTGTATTTTTCCAATATTTTGTAAAAGTTCAAGATCGAGAAACCGCGAGTAAGATGCGCAGTCAGTACTGTCAGAGACTTTTCGAGGACTTCCCGATCTCGGAATGGGGTGATCTATATATGGTTGGAAAGAGGACGGAAAGACGAACGCAACGGTGGGTGGATCGCCGCCATCGGAGTCTTAACGCTCCTCCACAAGCGTCTGAGAGTGGCCGCCACTCTCCGGCAAAGAATGGGAGAGTGAGGGAGCGTCCGGCCCCCTTTTTGGGTGGTTCCGGCGGCGGTGCACTTGTCTCTATGTCGCAGTCCTTCCCCTGGAGTTTCGGCCTGATTTGACTTCGGGTGACGGCGCGGCAGACCTGACGGCTAGGGTTCCTCTTTCGCGTCCTAGGGTTTCTCGCCAAAGGATTGGGTCTTTGGGCTTTGGGCCCATGAAACCCTAAAGGGGCTTGAGACAGATACTATGGGCTAGGCGAAAGTCGAATTCCAAAGTTGTATTATTTAATTTTATTTTCTTTAAAATAGGAAGGCCATGGATTAAAGTAATTATGATTTATTATTTAATGCTTTTATTGATTGGTATAAATTATATGATTGATAACATGCTTTATTGCGATAACATGCCATATAGAATAGGTGGTGCCATATTGTTGCATAACTTGTATGATTGCATGAGCATAATAGCTATTATGTCTTCAGCGACTAGTATGATAGTTATTATGGGATTATTTTGATTTTAAATCAGTCTAAGAAATTAATTAATAATTATTATGATTTTTATTAAAAATCTAGATTAATAATTGAATTAATTAATTTTGGATAATTAACATCAAGACAAATAATCGTTATGGAAATTATTTTGATTTCAAATTATCCTCATAAATGATAATTATTATGATTGTTGCAATCTAGATTAATAATTAAGTCAGCTATTTGGATGATTTAAATCTAGAAAAATAATTAGAAAAAATTTCCTAAGAGAATTCTTTTATTTTGCGAGTAATTTGTGGGTTTTCTGAAATGGTCATGGAATAACACACGCTGCATACAACATTCATGTATCATGATTGTTTGGAGCACACGCTGACGTAAAGTGACCGGATTTCAGGACCTTAATGCTTTCAAAATTATGTTAAGCTTAGTGCACGTTTATCGGCGCTCTTACTTATATAGTTTTTGAAATCAAACAAAAGATACTCTCAATTAAATAATTCTTGGAAATTAGAAAATGTTGCTTATGTTGAATGGAATGAGATTTAAATTAAGAAATTAATTTAACCTTCAAGCGCATTATAAGGACCATTAATAAAATAATCATGTGAAGTCTCATCGAATAAGCATGATTAGATTTTATTAGATTGGACTTAAATATCTATGGGAGGAGATTTAAATTAAGAAATTAATTTAACCTCCAGGCGCATTGTGGGCCTATCAATAAAATAATCATGTGAGGCCCCAACGGATAAGCATGATTGGATTTTATTGGGCCTTAATAATTTCAAAATTTTAATAAAGTATTGTACGGCCCATCGTCGATAATACTAAGTTATTAAAGATAATTTTGAAATTAAACAATGAATTCGACTGGGCTTATGAAAATTCTCAAACAAAAATGTTGAATGGGTGAAGGTTTTAAAAATTAATTAATTTTAAAAACCTGCGGGCTCCATTTGTGGGTTTATTAGTGAAATGGTTATCACTGAAGCCCCATCGGATAAGGATAATCAGATTTCACTAGATTAAATCTTAATAATTTCAAAATTTTAGTAAAGTATTGTACAGCCCATCGTCGGCAATGCTTAGAGACTAAGGATAATTTTGAAATTAAACAATGGTTAATTACCTTCAACTTTGGTAAAATTGTTAACCCTCCCATCGAGGCTCTGGCAATGGCACTGAAGGCCCAAATAACAATTTTGGTTTTTACAAGTGACTTGCCCATCGTAAGCCTTGTAAAGATAAATTGAAGGATTGTTAACAATAAACAAGAGTAGTTATGAGAATCTACTTGCACTTCGTTTGTTTATTGCATTATTTGTTTGTAATTGTGTGCTTTATATGTTTTTCAGAAATTATCTTAGAAATGATTTTGAGTCGAAAACCTCTAGATGGTACCAACTATGAATAAGTGAAAAGCAAATTTTTGATATTGTTCTAAAACATGGAAGCTAAAATTTGTCCTGACAATGCGAGGGCCATAGGTAGATATGGTAGTTCGCTGCTATATTATTGTCAGTCTTTCCAAATACTTGCAGAAGCAAGTGTACATGATTAAGAGTGGAGTAAAAATGCTTCAGACTCTTAATGACATGTTTGCTGCGTCTAGCAGCTCTGCTAGACAGAATGCAGTCGGTGCAGGTTTTGCTAAGAGTCTTGTTAAATCCAAAGGGAAACCCAAGGGTGGTAACAAGAACAAAATGACTTGGTTATCAGTTGTCAAACCAGTTGCTATGAAGAAGCCGCAAGGCAAGTTCTTCAAGTGCAGACTGAAAGAAAAATTGCCCAGAGGTGATGAAAAGAACCTGACATGGGCATATCAAGGCCTGATCAGTGAATGAATTATTGATTCAGGAATCACTGATTATGTTTGTTACTCTTTGTAGTAGTTCAAACATGGCATGCCTGTCAGCAATGGACATAGATATTTTAAGCTTGAAAATGGGAACTTGTGTCTGCATTTGCAGTAGGACAAGTTATTTATAAGACTATGGTTTTGGGTGACTGTTTGTTTATTCCAGATTTCAAGAGGAATTCAATTATTGTTAGTTGTTTTGATTAAAACATGGTTTGACAATGCAATTGATTCCTCAGTTACATTTCGAAGTTCATCTTCGTCTTGTTTTGTTCTGGTACATTGTTTGAATAGTCTTTATTACCTATGTCCTATACCCTTTTTAAATTTGTTATGTTGAATGGAAAATGATGATGAACAAGGATTTTCACCAAAGAAATAAAAGTTTCAAATGAAACATAACTTTGACCTTTGTGATTGAGTCATATTATCTCAAGTAGGAAACATATTTTAGTTAAAAGAAGGACTGAAAGTTCAAGAATCTTTTAACTAATAGCTACATGTTAGTCCTATTTGGAAGGTAAAATGGCCAAGCAATCCTACAAGGGCCAAAAAGGTTTGCGCAACTATTCAACTGGAATTGGTACATACTAAAGTATGTGGACCACTTAGCGTTCAGACCAGAAGAGGTGATGAGTACTTCATTATATGAATGTTTACTTTGGATTTGGACAGATGAACCAAGTGTGCCATAAGTCTAAAGCTTTTGGAAATTTCCAAGAGTTTTAGTCTGAGGCAGAAAAGCATGTAAGTGTTCAAATCAAAACACTTTGATCTACTAAAGGTTTTGGCTACCTGTCTGGTAATTTCAGGTCTTACCTGATTTAAGAGGGGATAGTTTTCGTAACTGTCA